TTGATGTAGAATATAATTACCTCTTGAAATGATTAAATTTTTGAAAGCGGTCTGTGATAGGCTGCATTAATTTTCGAACATCGAAGCACCATGACCAATCAGATTGTAGAATTCAGCGTCTAACTCGAAGACAGGGTGGGCGTTGCATTCCGTCCGTCCCAGTATACTTGATGTTGGTTGACTGATCGAGACGAATGGTTGACCAATTTCGTGTGAAAAGTACTCTCAAGTCATGCTACAATACGTGGGCAGAAGAAATTGATGTTTCTTTACTGTTAGTACGGTGCTGTTTCTGGCTACTCTCTGAGTATTACTTGTACTTTTGCTTCTGGCAATTTTACTTCGGTGTACCCCTACTCTCTGAGTAATACTTGTACTTTTGCTTAACTTATGGCAATTTTACTTGGGTTTTTACCCGCTACTTTTAGCCACACTTTCTTATTCTTCGTTGCATCTATGCACTTTGTGGTATTTACCATGCTCTTCGAGCACCTTTGCTGTGTGAGCACTCTTGAATTTATGCATTACCTTAGGCTTTTGCCTCACCCTATGAATAACCATGCACTTATGTGCTCAACACTATTTTTGTGTGTGTTCCTGTCCTACCTACTTCGCCTCCGTTCTCAGGGTGGCTTTTGTAGTGACATGCCTTTGGCACTTTTTGGCCTCCGCGAATTTTTCGCTAAGCCCTTTTTAGCCTTTGGCATTGCCTCTCTATGAGAACTTCGTCTCGAAGGCCTTTAGCAGTCCGTTGCCCAGTGGGGTGGCTGTCAAAAAGGGGCACTTGGCCGTTCTTGCTTTGGCCTTTTTCGCCGAGGTTCGGTCACTTACGGATAATATCCGGTCACCCGGAATTATCCGGTGTTCTTTCTCTGTAGAAGCCGGACTGTTTATGCCCAATCATACAGCTAATCAGCCCGTTAATGATCATCTTTGGTGTTGCCCTCGACCTCACAAGTGTTCTTCGTCGTCGTTCCTCCTCAGTGCTACCCCCTACATCGTCCCTCTTGACAGGCCGATACTAGAACCACATGTTATCGAATTGCTTCGTCAATTGTAACGCGCATGCTCGACCCTGTGTGTACTCTTCGGATTTTACTTCGCTCAACGCTTCATACCTCGTGCTTCGACCGAGCTTCTTCGAAGTTCGGTCCTCGAATTCGTACGCAGCCCTTGTTATCCGGATTCCCCAGGGGGGACGGATAAATCCTTGCGGAAATAATCCGGGAAAACCGAGAAATAATCCGGGAAAACCGAGAAATAATCTTGGGGAAACCGGGATTATCAGTAAGTGACCAAACCTCGGCGAAAAAGTCCAAAGCAAATACGGCCAAAGTAGCCCCTTCTTGACAATTTCTTCTACATTTCTCCATGGGAATGGGGTATAATTCCCTCATCAAAACAGTCCCACAGTTATTTTTCTCAGAAATCACTGCAATTTGAGTATTTATATAGAACTTTGTACGCTAGGACCACCTCACCTCTTACAAGGGGTGAAGTGCATTTCAGTGGTTAGCGATTGCTAAATCCCCGGGGATTTAGCATCGTATGTACTCACCGGGGGTCGGACAGAACCCCAGGTTACAGGGCTATGGGCGAAAAGGAGTATCGGGATGGGATAATTCACTCATTGACTGTGAAACAGGATTTCGGGTGAAATCAACAGTAGAACTGTTTTAATTAGGGAATTACTCTGGGAATGGGAGAGTCGAGGGTCGGACGTTGTAGTACTTTCTGCCCTACTACTACCTCAGTTCGCGCACAAGCGCATGCATGATTCAAGAAAATTGATTGTATAAGCCAGCCAAACAGTCAAACCAATAATAGGTGCATATGTACGGTAAGTAGCGTTAGAGCAGAGTCGTAAAGTATCTCAAGGTGAAGGTCAGATTGTACATCCGTACTCATCGGGCAGACCTCAAGACAAGCATGTCACCCAAGAGAGGCGCCTCCACGTGCGAGATTGCCGAGAGATTTCCCCCTCGGCGTCAGTATTTTCGTGAGAAGCAGCGCGAGTATCGCCGCAAGATGATTGCTGACGGGGCGACTTTTAAAGCGCAGTGCGTGCACCTTCAGTCGGTCCTTGTCCGTCTTCAAACAGCCAGGCCGCAGTCCACGACTCCGCGCGAAGCAAGTGATGGTCCGTTGTCCTGGCATTCCATTGCCAAAGTGTTTAAAGGAGAAGCCCATCGTGTCTTGACGGACCGCCAGTCACTGGTCGCCCAAATACAAGAGTTACAATCCCTCACGAAGTTCATGCAACGCTTTGTCATGATCAACATTCCGGTGCGTCTTCACATTTCCATAGACGCAGACGCGTTATATCGTTTCGTCTCTGGATGTAGCCACCCATGTCCCGCAGCAATGCGTGGCAGAATGCGATATTGGAGGCCGACCCGAGTGCTCGAAACCTGGCCAAGGAATGGCTCACGCAGCAAATGTACCACAACATGCACGAGGCGTTCGCGTTGCTTCCTGCCGTGAGCTATGACGATGACTTTTTCCAATTTGACATTCAAGCGTCGCACGAGAACGACGATCCGTTTACGTTGACGGAGCAGCTACAGTTCACGTGGCCAGGAACGGTACAAATGTTTCGACGCCTGGTCGAGACCAACATGCAGGCGGTGCATTTCACCAAGAATGTCGAAATGGCAAGTATTTACTTAGTCGGACGAATGGTCAACCTGACCTTTGTGTTTGGATAGGTGGTGGAAGAGAAGACATCCAACACGCGAATGTTTCACACGATCACACCCGAAGGCATATTCGTGAACTCGCTCGAACGATACTTCGTCGAAGCCAACCGGTTCGTCGTGGTCATGCGCCAAGTCGAACACGACGAAGCCCATCTATGTGATACCCTCCACAAGCAGCGTCACGGCATGTCGTGGTGCGTACTTCGTTCGGAGGTTGTTGTGGACGGTAGACTTAGCTTTTCCGTTCCATGTAGGACCGAGGTTCGGCAGGTATCGCCAACACACATCTTGATGCGCATTGTCAGCCATTCGTCGCATTTTTTTCGACCCGGCGGCGGGCTCGTGAGTGTGGACGAGCTTTCAGCGTTGTGGGGTATCGACATGACGGGCATCGAAGACGACGGCCTCAAGGATGAATACATGAGGTGCGAAATGATCCGACGGTCGTATGCGGATTTCTTGCCTTGGAGACAGCGTTTCATGGGCTTGATGCACCAGAGCGCGACAAACTAATTCTCTGGTCACACTATTGTGCTTTTCATGTAATTTGCCCGTTGTTTAACTGCGTTAAACAACCAGACGTTTAAAATAATGTAAGCCCGATTGAAAATAAAACAACGCTAACGTTAAATCCAAGTTCTGCTTTCAGCAGAATGAAACAACCCTTACTTTATTTCAGCCGCTAACTAATCGAGTTGCAGCACCAGGCCAACTTACGCAGAGTAACTACATACCAGTTCATCACGATGCATACCGTATTAGGATGTGAAATTGGAGTTCTATACATCGTGTAGTTGTACTGTACAACAACATCTTGATCGCCCGAAATCTCTACGCAGAGAGTGCTAACTTTTGCAAAATCACCCATATTTTGGAGACTATTATGACGTATTTCAAATGTTACCAGTACTTCACTGGATTAACATATACTGTAGTATTAATGCAATCTATACTGTATGTACAGTAACCTCTCGCTTAACTCCGCAGCTACTAACTCCACATTACTCACGATTAGGCCCAAAATATCGTGCTGACAACTCAAATAAAAACGAAAAATAGAAAAATCATATTATCATTTTGGAAATTATCGTATTTTCATAGGAATCTCGGTCATCACAGTGCAAAAAATGATTCATATCAATTGCCTCGAGTCGGTTCTGTGCAAGTAAATCGAGATCAACTTCGTCGTCGACGTTGTCATCACTAACAACGTTTTTCGACAAAAAGTTTACCCCAATATCTGCCTTCTCAAACGCAGTCTTAATTGTTGTGGGCGACACATTCCCCCAGGCAGCCTTTATGTAGGTCGCTGCGTCCAATACGTGAGGCAGTCGTCCATCCTTGACACCTGCTGAACAAGGACGCTTGGTCTTCGCGGATCTTTCGATCCTGTCCTTGACATCGTCATCCAACTCGTAGAAAGCAAGCACTTCGCGGAGTTGGAGAAACTGGTAGCGCGTGCGCATTCGAGCAGACAATGACAGTGAAACGTTCCTTTGGCACCTTTTGACGGGGTTCATGCGTCTCTGGCGCATGGTCCGGTTAAGCGTTATCCGGACATGATACAAAGTTTATACAGATCGAAAAACATCCGGATATCGAATGATTATACGGATGAATTGCTTGAATGGTCCGCACACGCTTTCGACGAATTTGCGATGCTCACATTCAAAACAAGGCAGCGAGATGAGCAGCCAACACACACTGTATGTCCAGGATGGGATTGACGAAGCCACCAGGCCCAATGCAACCACAGAGAGCACCGTGTCAATGTTCGGTGACTTGCTCGTAATGCACCATAACGTCAACGACGCAAATGATTTCATCACGAGCGTCTAGGCATGCGCCCAAGGGTTCACAGACGGGAAAGAATTTCTCCGACAAAACCCCCCACCCCGTACTCGGCGCATGAGGTTCAATCATGTGGCGCTCTACGCTATACTGCACGCACAAGGAAGAGGTGTGCAGTGGCCGGTCGACGTGCCAGTGGCATATCAAGTTCAGTTTTGGCAAGGCCATTCTGAATTATTCCATTACGTCGATAGGTTAGTCATTTAACTTTAATGTAACTGTTATCTAAACTATTTTCTCATGTCAGCTTTGTCGCACAACCACTTTATCATTGGAAATAGCTGAATCTATTCCTCACTGCCAAGTCTTTCTTCCAAGCGTCGATCCCTGACTAGAAGAGTATGTCAATAGTTAGATGCAACCGTCTTTCGTGTGACGTAGGGTCCTTCACAAACTCAAAGCCGAATTCGGAGATACATCGGTATTTGAAATTGTACCGTGTTTATTCTAAACTGGAGTGACATGGAGAATAATATCCAAATGGACAGAAGAATCGACAGAAGATTTGAGCCAATCAGATTACAGGAATCCATCAATCAACGTTTAAATAGTGTGTGACTTCATTTAGTGTGATTGCAATCCCATACGACAACCCTATACATACAAAATTTAGTAACGTTACAAAGAATAATCGATCGAATCAGAATATGTGTACATGATTCAAAAATAGAGCCAGCCAATCAGGCAAACCAAGAATGTGTGTATTCATATGGACGTTAAATACAGTGTCACCACGAGAAGGTCTGATTGTACATCCGAACCATGCATCGGGCAGAAGTCAAGACAAGCATGTCGTCCACCAGAGCCGCCTCTACGTACGAGGTTGCCGACAAACCTCCCCCTCGGCGTCAGTACTTTCGAGAGAAGCGTCGCGAGTATCACCGCAAGATGATTGCTGACGAGACGACTATCAAAGCACAGTGCGCGCACCTTCAGTCGATCCTTGTAAGTCTTAAAACAGGCAGGATGTCGTCCAAGGTGCCGCGTGAAGCAAGCGATGGTCCATTGTCCTGGCATTCCATTGCCATGGTGTTCAAAAGAGAAGTCCATCAGGTCTTGAGGGACCGCCAGTCACTGGTCACTCAAACGCAAGAGTTGGAATCCCTCACGAAGGCCATGCAACGCTTTGTTTTGACGAACATTCCGGTGCGTTCTCACATTTCCATAGAGGCAGGCGAGTGAGATCATTGCGTCTTTGGATGTAGCCAACCATGTCCCGCAGCAATGCGTGGCATAGTGCGACGTTAGTGGCCGACCCGAGGGCTCGAAACCTGGGCAAGAAGTGGCTCACGCAGCAAATGTACCACAACATGCACGAGCCGTTCGCGTTGTTTCCTGTTGTGGGCGATGACGAGGATTTTTACCAATTTGACTTTCAAGCGTCGGACGAGCTCGACAATCCGTTTACGTGGATTGAGCGGATACAGTTCACGTGGCCAGGAACGGTGCAAATGTTTCGACGCTTGATCGAGACCAACATGAAGGCGGTGCATATCTCCAATCATGTCGAGACGGCAAGTACTTAGACGAATGGAGGGTCAACTCAACCTGATGTTTTTGTTTGGTTAGGTGGAGGAAGAGGTGACAGCCAACACACGGCTGATTCACACGACCAGTCTGAACGGGAAGTTCGTGAACTTGCTCCAAGGCCACTTCGTCGAAGCAGATCGGTTGGTCAAGGTCATGTGCCAAGTCGAACACGACGAAGCATACGTATGCCATCCCCTCCAGAAGCAGCAACATGTCATGACGTGGTGCGTACTTAGGGGGTTGTTGTGGACTCATTTTGCATGTAGGACCGAGGTGCGACAGATATCGCCAACACACATCTTACTGCGCTTTGTCAACCGTGTGTCGCCCATGTTTCGACCTGCCACCGGGTTTGTGAGTGTGGACGAGTTCGCGGCGTTGAGTGGCATCGACGTGACAGGGGTCGAAGACCACCTCAAGGTTGAGTACGTCCAGCGCGAAATGATCCCACAGGCGCATGCGCGTTACTTGACATGGAGACAAGGTGCCATGGCTTTGATGCACCAGAGCGCGACAAACTAATTCTCTTAACTACTGTAGTATATATCGTAAGACCCCAATATTAATACTAGTATAAGAACACATTTTCTTTACAGTGGATGGCATGTACAGTACATACAGTATATATAATGCATGAGCGTTTACACCGCTTTGCCCAATACTAGTACAATTTAAGATGGAAAAATAGAGGCGAAAATCTACGATATTTTGGCAATTTCGAAGAAATCGGCAAACAATGAAAAATTATCATCTGTCTAGATCCAAAATTTGGAGAATTCATTATTTTGCCAAATACTCCGTTCCAAAATAAGTGCGCGAATAAGAAAAGTGATGTACGCCTCCTCGAATAAAACTACACAAACTCTAAGATCAAATACTTCAGAATGCATTTATACAGGTGTAACGATACACTTGTCCAATCAAATCATGCGAAACCATTGTCTCAGGACCAATCAAATCACGTTTTCAAGCAATTCTGACATTCACAGTCAACTCACCTCAAGAACCCTCCTAACGAACGAGCACAGGGACCATCCGCAATACCAACATGCATACATGTAGGAGCGCTTACTCGTCATCTTCCACACTAATTGGGTCGATGCCTATTTCAGCCATGGCAGAGATCATGTCGTGCCGATGGCCTCGCGCTCTTCGTTGGTAAGGTTGCGCCTTTCGGCTGTCATTTTGCGAATGATGGTAGTTGCAATTGTATGTTTTATATGAAAATTTGTATGCAAGTTTTGCACGCGGGCAATGGCCCCAGTACTTGAGATATCCCGCTCATTGTCACAGCAACAGAGAGCTCTGAGTGTCCTCTCTCCAATGAGCCAATCAAAGTTGAGTATTTCGAATTCCAATGGGCGACACTACGTTTCCAATTTACCTTGTGAATTTAATGATGGGTCATGTCCCCCCTCCCAAAACTCGCGCACTTATTTTGGAACGGAGGGAGTATCGTGTTTTTCGCCAAAAATATAGAACACGTTCAAGGGTCTATTTTTTACTGTCTGGATCAAACAGATTTCGAAAGAAAATGACAATTTTCAGTTCTTGCCAACTTTCAGAAAATAAGTCCCTTGAACTTATTTCTATATTTTTTGGCGAAATATGCAATATTCGGCAAAATATTGAGGGCTTGTCTGGCAACATGAAATATTACAATATTGAGGCCAAAACGCCATTTTGGGACCGAATTCAACAATTCTGATCAAAATGGAAAGATGTCTTGCTTGAAGAGATTTATAACCCAACTCCAATAATTCCGCGTGTAATTTACTCGTTGAGAAGGTCCAAAACGTCATATTATAAAATGGACCTATTACCTCCACTTTGAAAATGGCATTTTGGTTAATCCCGTTTTGCGAGAAAATAGAATATTATTTTTTAAATTTTTTCAGCCGCACCCTTTGAATTCTCCAAATTTTGCATCCAGACAAATAATTTTCTATTATTTTTGCCGATTTTCTTATCAGTTTGATCTAGACAGTCAAAATACTAGAAGATGACAACCAAATTCTTCGAATTTCATTATTGAACCAAATTTTTGAAATATTAATTGGGCAAAACACACCCATAGCATATTTTTTGGACGGTTAACCTGTTATCTGTATAGACCAGGTCAAGCAGCGTCCGGATAATCCTTTGCGTAAAAGTTGCACTGTAGCTACCAAAGACGATTCGATTATGATGGTTGTATATACAGGTAGTATACTTTCACTTGGCCATGAAAACCTATCTTGGCGGGTACACGCTGCTTACTCGACCTTGATGGAGCGGTAGATGGTCGAGACAAACGCCGACGCGGACTGGAACCCGATGAAGCCGAGCATGACGAAGAAGCAGTAGCTCATGATGGCCGAGTACCCAAAGTAGAAGACGGTTTGGAAGAACCCGTCCATGTCCGTGCTTGTGTAAAAGTACCAGATGCTGTACGCAAACACAAACACGCCTGTGACACCGCCGCTCCAAAAGCTTCGCCACCACCACCGGTGGTCCTCCCCCACCAGCTGAAAGTACGTCATCGCAATCGTCATAAACGCTGTCACAGCCACGAGCATCCAGAACGCCAAAAACAAAATCCCAAACAACGTGTAGATCTGCCGCCCCCAGATCGCCGCAAATATGTGATGCAGTTCAATGTACACGGCCGAGTACGGCAGACACCCCGACGCCACCACGTGCACCCACGGCGCCTTGTACCACGGGGGCTGCGGAATCTCTCGCGGGATCTTGTTGGTGCGGCACGGCGGCTGGTACACACCTACGTCGTCGTTGTCAGAAGGGGGGTGGGGGGGTAAACACAACAAGGAGGGGGGGGGTCGTTTTACTTACTCGTGGTGTTGCGGCCGGCAATCCCGCCAATGATCGTAAGGGGGACGTTCACGAGAAGGAACAAGCAGATGAGAATCATAATCGTGCCAAATGGCAGCGCCGCCGACGAATCGTTCCAGATGGCCACTGTGTTTAAGAACGCAAACACCCCCAAGAGCGGCCCGGGGATCACGAGTCCACATGCGACAATGTTCCACACCCAATTCTGCCTACACCATGTCGCAGACACACCAAAGCGTAATTGGAATCATGTCGCCCTCGACACTGACGTACCCGCCCAGTTGCTTGTACAAGCTCGCCGACCGGTACCCGCCAATGCTCGCGGTGAGCGGGTACGCCACCGCCAGCGCCGCCATGATGCCGCCGCGCTTGGTAGGATGGAACACATCCAGGAGCGACAGCGCCAACACCCCAAACAGCATCGCAAACAACTGGGCACCGGCCCCCACATACGCGCAAAACACGACCAGGTACGGCGGGTTGCGGAACACATCGGCGTGGACTAGCTTCCACCCCGTTTCTTCGTTGATATCGAGTCCATCCTCGGGGTCCATGTACCTATAAACCTGTCAGAAATCCAAAATGAAGAGATTTATCATAATAAACCTGTCATAAATCCAAATGAAGAGACTTATCAAAGACGAAGAGACTTATCATAGAACCATAAACGAACCTGTCATAAATGGAGAGACTTATCACACGTACCTGGACACGTCCTGCTTGAGAATGCGAAACATGACGATGGACAGGAACGCCACCAGCAGCATCACGAGCACAAACGAGTTGATGATCGACAGCCAGTGGATCTCGAGTACTTCTGGCAACAGCGGGTCCTACGGAAGCATCGAATTGGTGTATGACCATAAATAGTGTGATAGATAGTACCTTGACGGTGCGGTCTTCCCATGTCCACGCCGCCTCCTTGCGCCACTTGACAGAGTACGTGAACGAAGCTTCCTTCTTGCTTAGATCCGACAGCGCGTACTGGTACTCCGAGTTATCGGCCTTCTTGTTGTCCCCTCCCAGTGACATGTTGACCCCCACAATCTACACGAGATGAGAACGAGGACGGTGGGATATATAGTATGCATGAGTGACGGTACCACGAACTTGGGCACGGGGGATTTGACTTCGGTGTCGTCGACGTACCCCAACGCAATGTCGGCGTCGTTGTACGCAATGTCAAAGTGCACGTGGGTGTTGAGGTAGTAGTCGTAAGTCGAGGCCGCTGCGAACTTGTTGAGGTGCTGCTCCAGCACGTTCTTCCCCGGTGGCGCGTCCTTTTGCACGGCCTGGCCGACCATCGCCGACAGACGGATGTTGTCCACGTACATTTCAAACACGTAGTCGTCCTCGATCGCGTCCGAGAACGCCTTGACCGTCTCCGGCGTCATCGACACCTTGCACAGCTTCCCGTACGGTACGTCGATGCCAAAGTACACCTGGTAGTCGGTCACGATCTTGCGGTTCCCCGTGAGCAGCTCCCCCAAGTCGTGGTCGTCCCATTGACGCTCCTTGGGTTTACAGAACGGCAGCGTGTAGTAGTGATACGTCTCGGTTGGGTTGGCCGACGGGCGAATCTAAGAGACTTGGTTGTCAACGCCACGAACGCCGCGAGCAGTCCTAGCGTCGATGGCATATAGGACATACCGTGTTGGCCACGATAAACACCTCATCCTTCAACTCGTACTCGTTCGTGTCCTCACCAGAGGCCAGCGCAGCCATGCCCAGCGCGGCCGCCATCGCCATCGCCCTCACACCGACCATCTTCTTTTTGTTGATGTGTGGGACGAATCCGAATACACTGTACCGTAGAGGGTGGTTTTTTTGTTTGCGACATCCGGTTAATAACCCCATTATCCGGAACCACTAGTATTATCCGAACAAACGAGTTTTGGTTTTTGGGGCAACAATCAAAAAATCGCTCGGCGGAGAGCATGTCCCGTCGCGACCACAATGACCAGGCCAACTATAGCTACGGCGCATCGAAGCGCGGCAGAGAAGATGATAATGAACGCGATGTGAAGCGCAGAAGAGGAGATAATGGTGACCCCTTCCGTGGATGCCGCGGCATCTTTGCATGGGAAGACGAGCCGGATCCGACTTGGAAAGCTGCGGTGGAATCGCACGGCGGTGGCGTGCCCAAGTTTGCGACCAAGGGCGAATGCGAAGAGTTCGTCCAGAAGCATTGCGCGCCAGGATCGAACCCGGACTTCCGTAACTTGCAGCACATCTTCACGATGCTCGTCACATGGACGCAGATCGCAAAGATCTTGATTCCGGCCATGGAAAAGGTCGACAAAGATTATCCGTTCAAGGCACCCGCCGATCTGGGAGTCCGCAACGACAACCGCTTCCATGACACGGACGTCGAGAAGGGTATCAAATGGCGCATGGACCTGCCGTTCCACCGAGAAACGAACCGAGAGTCCACAATGCACACGCTCAAGTACTTGTTCTTCCACATGCGTTGCGGTATCTTGGTGATGATCCGAAATGGGCGCGTCGTGTTGTTTGCGCCATTTGCGAACAAGGACTACGAGAACAACTGGTCGGAGTTTTTAAAATTCGACAGCGACGACGGCACGTTTGAAGCGTATTATGGGGGTACGTTCATTTCAATCCATTGGAAATGATGTTTAAAATCCATTGGAAATGATGTTTAAAATCCATTTGAAATGATGTTTAAAATCCATTTGAAATGATGTTTTAAATCCATTTGAAATGGTGTTTAAAATCCATTTGAAATGATGTTTTAAATCCATTTGAAATGTAGAGAAACGCAACCACTACCGCCGTGAAAATATCATTCGGGACGTTCGAAAGTGGTGGGCCAACGGCAACATCATCTGCAATGAGCACTGCAAGGACTCGCGCCGCCATGAAGAGACGCAGTACTGGGGCGACCAGTTCCTGTCCCAGTTGCGAGACATGTACGAAGTCACTCTAGTCTTTGATGAGCAATTTTGATTGGATTTAGCTAGCCATGGTTTCAAATTCCTATTTAAACTGCTGTTTTTTTGGCGTGTATGGCTATCGTGTATGGATTGAAGTAATATGCTCTATATATATAATTTCCTCCACAGGTTGGTTGAAGGAACCGCCCGAGAATTGCTGGAACCTGCGACATATGATATTATATCGAAGTTTCAGGGATATCCTTTGTCATATTCATCCGTTTTAGCCAATCATATTGTAACCTTCGTTCGTTTTAGCCAATCGTATTGGCACGGAGAGAAGTTTTTTAAATGTTGCGAGGTGCTTCATCTATCGATATTTGTGATTTGTATGCAATATAAAAATATAGGAAGAATAAAATCGAAACACTTCCTCGTTCCATATAATACTATTTGTCTTGCAATTTTGTTTTCATTTCTTCGATTTCATATAAATAAATATATATTTTGCACCACGTTGGATTTCATATAAATATATATTTATCTTGCACCAGGTTGGATTTCATATATATATATATATATATTTATCTTGCACCAGGTTGGATTTCATATAAATAAATATATATATTGCACCACGTTGGATTTCATATAAATATATATATTTATTTTGCACCAGGTTGGACGACGCGTGCAAGAACCGCAATATTCCAGACTGTGAATTCTTTATCAACAAGCGCGATTACCCGCATTTGAAGGTTCGTTTTCGATATCTTCCACCTACTAACGAGGTTACTAGTGGACTACTACTAGTAATACTATCGTGAACGGTATTGACATGTATATGTAGAGCAACTTGTCCGAGCCGTACGGGTTTCTCTTTGACCGGGACGACAAGGACCCATCTCAAGACTTGCCCCTGGAGCAATTCAAATACAATTCGTACGCTCCCATCATGAGCTTTTACATTTCCAATCGGTACCCAACAAATCTATATATCACTAAAAACTGGAATAATCGTCCCATATATATATATATATACATATAAATGTTGCAATTAGATTCGCCGACATTCCATTTCCGTGCTCGGAAGACTGGGAAGCCGCCACGGGCCTCGTGTTTCCGCCTTCGTTCATGTACTACCGTTTGATGTAAAATAGTGGGTTATTTTGGGTTATTTTTGCGTATTTTGGATATAAATTTGGCCAAATTTCATGGAACGAATATAATGTATAGACACACCCATTGCAACAAGTGTAATTGCGGCGACGATCGGTACTGCCGCAACAACTTCGAGTGCTTTTGCGAAGGCGATCGTAAATACCACGGCATTTCGGTACGACATGTATATGTCAAGTCTATATATATATATATATATATATAGTTCCGAGCCCATATGGTTCGTATTATTTGATATATTCGATAATGTGTAGTCGGTGCGTGATTTGTTTACGGCGTCCAACTTTAAAAAGTTTGACAAAGCATGGGAAGACAAAGTGGACACGGCGTTCTTCCGAGGCACGGCCACCGGCGGCGGCACGACGAAAGAGTCGAATCAACGGTTGAATTTAGCGTATTTGTCCAATTTGTACGTGTCTTTATAAATATGTCTTACACTATATATATGTGAATATATTTCGTGGGTAGGTGGAAAAAGGAGCCTGAATTCCACCACATGGTGCACCCGGTGCCGTACTTGGATGCGCAAATCACGGCGTGGAACCTCCGCGACAAAAAGATCGCGGGACACCCGATGACATTTCTGCGGAAAGACAAGTTCAAAGGGCGCGGCGAGTTCACGGCGGGCAAAGAGCACTACATTCCCATGTACGAACAGTCTAAGTTCAAGTACATCTTGTACGTCGAGGGGCACTGCGCCGCCAACCGGTACGCGTTCCTTATGCGCCTCGGCAGCGTTATCCTCAAGGTCTCGTCCAAGTGTGTCGCCGACGAAATGTGGTACGAGTCCCTGAATATAGATATATATATATATGTAGAGAGAGAGAGGGTATGGTGTTTGATTGGCGGAGTTTTTTTTATTTTGTCCAATCAACGTGTTTCGGCTGCATCAAATATATATATACTGTATATAACGCAGCCAATCGGCACCTATATAAATATATGTAGAGAGAGAGTGAGGATATGGTGTTTGATTGGCTGCGTCTTTGTTATTTCGAGATGATTTTGTCCAATCGGTGTGTTTTCGACTACGTACGATCCTCGTGTAGTTCAAAATGAATGTCTATATGTGGGTATGGTTGAAAGGTACACGCCGCTGCTGGTGCCGATGGAAGACCACGTGCCGATCCAGGAAGATCTGTCCGACTTGGCCGAGAAGATCGCGTGGTGCCGCGCGCACGACGCCGAGTGCCGGGAGATGGCGGCGCGGGCCAAGCAAAAGTACGAAGCGTTCGTGTCCAAGGAAGGCATCTACGACTACATGGAGCTCATCACGACCCACGTCGCGCAACGGTACGTCGCTATGTTTAGATGTGTGTGATTGAAAGAGATGTAGGTACTCGGAGGTGCCGACGCACTGGGACTACGTCCGTCCGGTCGAGCACCACGAGAGGGACCCGCGCAAGCCGTCGCTGCAGTCGGATCGGGATCATTCGTGCGTGGGCAGCAAAAACCCGCGCCTCTGCACGGGATGCGAAGAGAACAAGGCGCTGCAGGCCTCGAGGAGGCGCAAGATGGACGAGCAGGACGCCGAGTACCACAGCAAGCGACCCAAGGTACGGTAATTGTGTCTAGGTCGAGAAGTGACTGTTATTTGCTAGTACCAACCGCAACGCTACAACCAAGCAGCGTCGCGCCCCCCCCCAGAGAGAACGTGCCGCAAATGCCGTCGAAAGATAACCGCGTGCAGTTGCAAGAAGGATGATTAGAGGTAGTAAGTAGGTGGGGAGTACATTTGTACTGAACAGTTTAACACGTTGAAATACTAGAGACATCATATACACTAGTATTAAATCGTACTGTAGTAAGTATAGACGTGCTCACATCATGTATTTCTTCAGCATATATACTAGAAATGTTGATATTGATAAATTAGATTTGCTGTGGAGCATATATAGTAAGCACAATATGATTGATAAATTAGATTGTATATATAGTAAGGACGTAACGTTACGATAGTGTGCCCATTATATTTGGTAACCAAAGTGTCGTGTGGGTATGTTGTACACGGACACTGCAACTTCGACGAATAAACGAATCAATACGAATGGGCACGTCGCCAAACCTAACGGATATATTAATAAATAATAGGAAGGCACAAAATTATTTAGTCAATTACCATTGCACTGCCACAGTCCCCTCCTCTTACGACACCCCAACTGGAATGAATATATCTGGCAGCACATTTGGTTTCGTCATATTGATATGTACATATACCTCGTCCCCCCCTCTTCGTGACCCCCACGGCGCAACGGTACCACACTTCGTTCGCAAACATATCTCATTCAAAGGAGAGTAGGGTACTCAGTGGTGCCGACGGCATGTTGGGGCTACATCCAACCCGAAGAACATCGCAAGAAGAGGTGTACAAGCCGTGTTTCAACCAGAACGGGACCAATTGTGTGTGGGCAGCAATTCCCCCCCCCGACGATGCACCAATGCCAAGAAAGCGAAGCGCTACAAAATGCACACAAGCGCCGCATGGGGAGCCAGGATGCCAAGCAGGCTTCGGACTTAAAATATCTTTATGATAATAATCTAGATAAGATAGCAAAAATAATCTATTTCTAATGTGACGTTGGATGCAATAGTCTATTTTCTGTGCCGGTAGATATCGATAATCTATTTTCCAGCTTCGTCCAATTATCCTCAACACACCTTCGCGAACACGAGCTAACTGCTGCTGAGGATGCATTGGTCATGTTCCTGTTGGGCCCTGGGCACTGCTGCAGTCCCCAGCACGCTGTTGAGCTACGCGGACGAACTTTTGGCTCCAAAACGTCACCGAATGGGACCAACAGCAAGTACAGCTGCTTGAAGTTAAGGTTAGTTGTTCCAACGAGCAACATGGATGAATAGCACTTCTGTCAGCGTTGCAACGTACATCATGACAGACCATAGAAAACACATGCATCCGGTGAATTTCGAGATGATCATATTCCTTCGCGCGAATGCATCGTATTGGAATGTTTACTCCCTTGTGGAATACGAAGTAATATATTTGAGCAATTATCGATATTTTGCATTACCAAACAATTATTTATTATCGAGGTTGTCGAATATCGTGAAATCTATTGGCCGAGGCGCCATTTTAGATAGTCGCAAGAAATATATTATTTGGGAAGCCTGATGCCAAGTACCACATCAAACGACCCAAGGTATGTTTTGATGTTGAGTTCATCTCACGATAGATGATAGAACGATTCGAACCAACTACATCATCGCACTTCATTGTACGACCAAGCAGCGTCACCAGACAGAGCGTGCCGCAAATGCCATCGAAAACTATCCGCATACCATTGCAAGCAGCACACTTGACGCAATATGTTCGAGTTAGTAGATATTAATAGAGTTGTAGACTTGGCACTTGGAGTGGACTTGCGTGGTTAAAAATAGCCCGCGCCTCGATTTCACGTTGAGGCAGGTAGACTCAGATGGGCCAGAAGAAGCGGCGGATCACTGCGAATGACCGCAACTACTCGGGCGGGTCCTTCAACATCAAGCGAGCGGTGGTGACCCCAATTGCCAACATAATGGCGGCGATCGGGGAAGCTCCTCCCCCCGGGGACGGGGCGATATCTGCCACTCCACCCCCGTCGTTGGTGTCGTCGACCAGTGTCAATCAAATGGTCATCAGTTCCTCGGCACCACGGCATTCCGTGCCCAACGCAGGCGGCATACTACGGCGCATCAGCGCCGGCTTTGTACGCTTGTTTTCAGAGATGACTGTGTCCGTGTCGGCCACGACCCTGACCATCCCCAGCACTTCCACCCCCAGCTCCAGCCAAGTAGCCCCCACGCCGTTGTGTCCGGTGGTGGAGCCCATCAACGTCAACGAAGACGGCAGCAGCCGCCGCGCGAGCAACTCCGTCTCTGCCATCCCCCGAGATGCCAGTGGATCCGTGGGCACAGCCATGCGGCGGATCAGCACGACCTTAACCCACATGTTCACCGACCCCAAGCCGCTGACAGACTCGACGCCCGCCGTGGACGGCAGCCCCAAAGGACGTGGCCACAGCAAGTCCGTGTCGGAGACGCTTGTGGCGATGGTGCATCGGGGCCCCGTGGACCGCTTTGGCCAGGGGAACGTCACGCACACGGGCCTCGATGCGTCGTTTGTGGACGAGGGGCTTCATGTGTTGATTGACGGGGCCCCCAACTCGACCGAGTTTGCGCAGCTGCTGCTGGACAAACTCACGGACGTGTTCACCAAATACACCAAAAGCGACGACTTTCAAATGTGCGTCAATTCGCCGCAGGTCGCAGGGGAAATCAAAGTCAAGCTAGTACAAGGCATCGCCGCTGCCCACCAAGCGGTCGTACCGTCCTTCGGGGGCGTATCTGCCGCCGCGTCCGTGGGCATCGCCATCATCCACCGCCACCCGAAAGATGCCATCGCAAGGCTGCACGTGATCAACGTGGGCAACACCAAGACGATTGTTGTGCGCCGCCAGGAAATCGTGTTCGAGTCGGCCTCACTCATGCTCGGCTTTCACCGCCCGCTGCGCGTGCCGTCAGTGCCTCCTAATTCGTCCCCCCATTCGCCCCCCGCGCAACCGACTATGCTCTACGAAATGTACCAGCTCGAGGCAGGGGACATAGTCGTGTCGTGCACGGACGGCGTGACCGACAACTTGTACGCCAACGAAATCATCGAAACGATCCAAGTTGTGAGCAAGTACCGCAACGCGAGCTGGGACTGGGTCGCCCAGGAGATTGCCCAAGTCGCGGCCAACCGCGTGGACCAGCCCCTGAACCGGCAGAGTCCGTTTGCCAAGGAGGCGGCGGGCGAACTCTACCGGTCCATTGACCTCGACACGGAACTTCTCGGGCGATACGCGTCCTTGTTACGGCAGGACGTCAACTTGACCAAGACGGCACTGTTTCGCAACACAAACACAAGACAAGGAGACGACTTTCCACTCGATCAACTGGCGCAATGGGCCAAAGCCATCGTGGGCACGGCCGACGACGCCACCGTGGTCATTTCCACAATCTAATAATGCAAGTATTATCGAGTAGCTTGGGGTTATTGAATTTGCTTGTTGCCGACAACTTGACATGCAGAACTCGCCGTGGACGTGTGCTGGATAAGCTACGGAAGGAGACTCACAAGGTGGGCTATTCTATGATTTATGAACTACCCTTGCAAACACGAGCTGTTCTCGATCGATTCGCATAGTAGGCGAGGCTACGTACTCTACTAGCTCGCTACATATGAACGCATATACAAGAGAAGATGCTGCTACGCATGACGCCCCGATACTCGGTTGGTGGACACCATGTGGTTGGCATCGACAATCGTGTGGGTGAGCTCTGTCGTGGCGGGCGTGTTGCTCTGGTTGAGCGTGAGCCGTCCGTTCACGACGAGGAGGGGGTTGATGCTGCTCATGACTTGCTCGTTCACGGAGATGCCGTCCAGGTACTGCTTGAGCACGGCCTGGAGCTCTCGGTTCTCGACTTCGACGCGCGCCTTTTCGTTTTGAATTGCCATCGCGTCCAACAGCGCCTTGTTGTAGCGCTTCCAGAACAAATCCAAGTACTCCCACTCGGACACGGCCTCGCCCGTGGCAAAACTCCCGTGCGGCTGGATCAAGCCAAGCTTCAAGTGGTTGTCCACGGCGCCACTGCCACTCGTCGCCACTACACTCAAAACACACCTCCATGAGAACGTGCCACGTCTTATCGTTCTCACCGGCGATGCCTTGCTTGAGCGCGTTCACGTCGTCCGCGGCCTGCTGGGCGTCTTCGATGGTCGAGTGGTAGAACGGCAGCACCTGCTCGCGCTCGGTCTCGAGCTTTCGCGCGAGTTCGCCCAGCTTGAGGATGCGTTCGGCGAGCTCCTGTGACGCCGTCAGCTTAAGGTTGGTTTCCCGGGCGTTGTGGCTTAGGGTTGTGAGGCGCTTCTTGTGCTCGTCGCGCATGCGGTTCATCTTGGCCTTGAGCGACTGAAAGTGGCCGCCGATCTGGCTCTTCTCCTCCTCCAGCGCCTTGTTGCGGTCCGTGCACTCGCGCACGTTTTGTGCAATCTTGGTCCGCCACTGCGTCAAGTTGGCCTGCAGCCGCTCGATCTTGCGGATCTTGATCTCAATGTCCTTGCTCAGCTCTTGGTCCTTTGCGGTCAAGTACTTGAAATCCTGCGTGCGCTGGTCCGTGTTTTGCAAGTAATTGAGATGTGCCGTTTCGAAATGTTGCTCCAACTCTTCAATGTTGCTACAACCCACGCCGACATCGTCGATATAATATATATACATAAGATATACATACTGTATATATACATAAGATATATATACTGTATATATACATAAGATATATATACTGTATATATACATAAGATATATATACTGTATATATACATTAGATATGTATTCTTTATACATACATTAGATATACCCGTATAGTGTATATATATTCCGACAGGTGATATTTCACAACCAGCCGACACTCGTTCTCAAAATTTTGTTAATCCATTGCGTCATACAAATTTGAAGTATATTCAACAAATTTAAAAGTAAATATCAGTTATTACATGAAAATTATCAGTTATTACAGGAATTAGTCTTTCGCAATACATATACACTATATAGTATATACTGTATATATACATTAGATATATATATCGGATATACTTTCGAAGGCAAGAAGAATGGTAGTGCGATTTACCTGTCCAGCGTGATACGCAACACGTTGATGTCTTCGAGGTTTTTGTTGCGGATTTCTTCGCGCAGCTGTTCATGCTCTTGCCTCGCCTCAGCCTCGCGCTCCTTTTCTTGAGTCTCCACCGCCCTCATGATGCTGAGCAGCTCGTTCTTCTCCACCGTGTGCTGCATGCATACCCCCATTAACGTTACCATCAACTAACTAGCAACAACGAACAACTAACGAACGTACTTGCTTGTGAATTTTGTCGCGCTCGACGCTAAACTCACGCTCCAACGCGTGCAGATCCTTTTCAAACTCGTCTTCGAGCCCCAAGAGGCGGCCGTCCTGGAGGTCGATCAGATGATCGACGTTCAACAGATGCGACCGCAGCGCCATCTGGAACTGCTCCTCGGCCTCTTCCAGGTCGCGGTCCAGCATTTGGATGATCGCGTCCTTGCGGTCCACGTCGCGCTCGTGGTTCTGGGACTTGATCTCGACGTCTTTTCGCAGAGCTTCGACCTTGACGAGGCGCATGATCTTGCGCCAGTGGTTCTGAATCTTGAGTTTGTTCATCTTGGAGATCTTTTGCTCCTTCTCCATAAACTCCTTGAGCTGCGCCTTCTTGGTCACGGCCAGTTTCTTCAAGTAGTCGCTCATCTCGAGCCGGTTGATCGAATCCGCGAGCCGCCGCTCCTCGTCCGTCATGCCCTTGCCGTCCTTCTTGCCCTTCTTGTCCTTGCTCGACCCCTTCACCGCCTTGCCCAGCTGCGCACCACCGCGCACCTTGCGCGTGACATAGTACACCTTGCCCCCGCCGCTGGATGGCATCGTTCAAAGGCCGTCGAGGTGTTAATGGTAACTGGTGCGCAAAACTGCCATAGAGTGAAACGCTCGCCACGATTAAGATTATAATTGTGTAGGTAGCATAGTACAGCTGATATCATCGATACATGGTTCTACAGTAGCCCTTGGGGTGTCACGACTTCTGACTCGTAATGACCTACTACTGTCACACACATCCTCAAATGTCCTGAGCGATCGGGGGAGGTAGCATGATGGGCGTGCGGTAGGGCAGGGTCGTAAAAGGCGAATCGAACATGGCTCGACTCCGTGGTATGCCGTACTCGGCCCTGGGGTAGCTTGACCGCCACAGCAGCGAGTCTTCGAGGCGGTTCTGCGACTGCTCAACAGAAAAAGTGGTCCAAACGTGAATGGTTCCACCGGGGGTAGGGAATATGTATGGTGGTGCTGCGTGTACTTTGGCTTGGGCCGTATGTCATGTTGGTGCGGAGTAAACGATACCAGCATGCCAATATTTATGATCGATCCCCCCCATAGGCTCGGTAAAATACGATGTCAAGTGCTTATCGCTTCGTGCCCCGGTGTCACCCAGTCGACAATCAGCACTCGACCACGCCTGTTGATCTTAAGGAACTGAAGATCTACCACACTCGCGTCTCCACAGGCACGGTCGACTTGTTTGCATTCGCCGAGGGTAACAAGCCCGACGACGAATGGTGACGCCAAGTATGCGAACCCTCCTGGCATCACAAACTGTCGAAGAAACAAGATTGCCGTTGAATGCAAGCCAACAACCATCCACGTCGCACCTTCGAGTGTGAACTACTCGAGCAAACCTGCGCTGACAAAGAGCTCGAAGTCATTCCGATGCCTACCGTGTTGTGGAAACGTGCTATGGACTAAACCTTCTGCGATCGACGCTAACCCTATGATTCACAAGAGGTGCAATCCGCTTCTTCAAAGGGAACATTTGAGTATGGTGAATTAGTCGCCGTCACACATCAAGGCGAATTGTACCGCCGATGGGATGGGTTTCGACAAGCAGTTGCTTTCGAACGAGCAAAATGTTTATGTGTGCTCCCAGGTCTACCAAAACGAACATTTGATCCTTGCGTGATCCACACTCTGTCCTTCAATGCAGCAAATGTAGACGTGTATTATCTTGTTGCTTATTTAGTAGGGCTCGGGGCAATGTAAATGGCCTTCGAGTCCACGGCCACACCCAAGCGCGAGTCGGCCACCGCCGTGGCATTGTTGCTAAAGTATACGACTGAGCCGCCGGGGGGACCTTCGACGATGTCGCCGCGCGTGGTCGTGTAGTACACTGATCCGACCGTGAGCCCCGTGCCGACCTTCACCGCCCCTTGCACCACCACGCCCTTGGCTCCGATGCCCACAAGCGGACCGAACGACTCGACGAGCGTGAGGCGCTTGGGGGACAGCGCATCCAACTGGCCCCCAAAGGCCACAACATACGCTTCAGGCGACACCGCAGCAGCCGCGATGGTCACGGCTCCACTCGTTTGGTTCACACCATGCCCAGCCAGGGAGAAGTCGTCCTTGGAGACGCGGATGAGGGGGGTAACAGGGTCAATGCGTCCGTCGCGGATCGAGAAGAGCTGTGTGTGTGGCTGGCCTCGGCGGTTGGCGTTGAGGAAGGCGACGGCGAGGCGGCCGGGTCCGACGAGCGCAAGGCTGGGCGCCGGGTACCACGAGTAGAACGAGCCAAAGTCGAACTCCCCAGCCGACTCTTCGAGCACGAACGAGCTGCGGAAGAATACATTGGAGCCAAAGACTTCCACGAGCAGCAGCGTCAAGGCGGCGTTGGCCTTGGAGTTGTAGAGCGCAATGACCGCCGTGGCGGGCGCCACGACGGAGATATCGACAAAGCTGGACGGGGTGAACTGGTCGTTGCACACTTCCGAGACTTTGACGGTGGCGGTGGCGTTGGTTTGGCCCAGGAGCAAGCACAGTCCCTTGTTGGACCCCGACGCGGTGGGCGTCCACCACGGCTGCAAGAAGGTGCCGGGGGTACTGCTGATCCCCACGGGCTTGGCAAACGTGACGCTCTGGCTTGTTTGCGTCGTCGCGTCGTCAAAGTTGGCGTCGCCGAAACGAAGGGGCGGCGACGAGAGGGCGACCGTGCCGTCCGCGTGGAGGGTGCCCCCGACGACGTTCTGGTACCACAGACCAGTAGCGTTGTACGCGTCAAAGTACGAGACGGCGAATTGGGTGGGTGAGATGGCCCCGATGGCGTTGGACACGGAGCCGGTGGTCACCGCCACTCGGTTCGCGGGCACGACGTCCACGGATGACGGGCTAAGTACGGCCGGCGTCACGAACACTGCTCCCGACGAAGTTTGTTCGAGGAGGACTGCCGCAGTGCCACTGAGGATGGCGGTACCGCGGATTTGGTTGGTCACGATGTTGGCCGTCTTGACGTCGGCGACGATGAGCGACTTGTCGGCCGCAGCGGTCGCGGTCGTGACCACCGTCTGTGACTTCGTGGGCAGGTAGTACGAGAACAGCACCGACGACGACGTGGTCGCCGAAGGTAGGCGCGCGAGCTGGACGTACTGGATAGCGTCCGAGGGCAACACGCCGGCGTCCAAGTACGCGGTGGTGCCAGCCCCCGCCCGGAGCATGCCGTCGGGGCCGAAACTCAAGGGCTTGTCCTTGAGGGCGTCGCTGGTCTTGAAGATGTCGTTCGATAGCTTCAACGAATCGATGGGCACGTGGTACATGAAGACGAGAATCCATAGCGCGATGAGTTGGAGGAACACCAGCACGACGAGTCCTGTGAGGACGTTCACTTTGAGCGACAACGACCTTGTGGCGGGGGCTGCCGCCGTCGCCTCAGCGCCCCCTTTGCCACCCCCGCTGCCGTTCACGTAGGTTTGGTCGAGCGTGATGCCGTTGACATCGTTGTTGTCAGGAGGTGAGGCCGTCATGTCGAAATGACGAATGGAGGAAGGCTTGACGGGATGGTGGGACTCACATGAACCAGCTATAATTAGTCCGGACGATGAAGTTGCGGAAATCTGTGCGTACTCGCCACTCCAACCGTGGCGATGACAGACACATGACATGATCAAAATAGCAGTGAAAGGGATCCAGAAATACTCGCCTATAGTTCTCGAAATAGCCTACTGTCATTGACAGCGGAGTCAACTCGATTGATCATTGGTGGGTGGCTAGTCCGTTGTGCGAACGATGGATGTGGGGGTTTCACTTGGCATTGACCAAACGATCATAGCTCACAGATTAAATGATGGCCCACTGGTTGATTGAATCGGTTGTTTGTGGGGTTGCAGGGGGACTTTTTAGCTGGGGAAACACTCAGTAACGGAGGTGTGTCGTCAAATCGCAGGAGATCCTTGTGCCCGATGTAGTGGGCGGCATGGGTGTGATAGAAACCTCTCCTTCATACACTAATGGACGTCATGGCCAAACGATGTCTCAACCCAACCAAACGTTCGACTACCGGTTGTCGCTACTCGTGTGGTTAATAACAAGAGTCCGTAGCAACCATGACCGCAATGAGGCCATTACGCTGCTTGTTCTCGCTGTGACACAGCCTGCGAGAGGCGTCAAAATGCAGCCTTTTGATGCCAGTTACAATATTCAGCTATCGTGGCGGTTTCATATCTAGGATCCCGCTCTACGATTGGTCCAATTCTTTAAGAATCGCGTGTTTTGATTGGTCAGATTTATTTCGAGCACAACCGAGCGACGCGACGTGTAGTCATCTCCCGAGCGCTTCGTCGGTTCCTCCTCCTAGTCCTGGCCAAGGTCCTTCTCCACGCGACAAACATGATCATGCGTCCGTCATATGCATGACGAACGGCGCCGCTTCCAGCGGTCCTCGGCGTGACCCCTAGTACAATCCGTCATGTTGAAGTTGTGACTTCTTCGACTGTGGAAAGATCAGTCTATTTCCAAATGGTTCGTCATTCTTCAAATTACTAAGTCATGGGCACAGCTTCTGAACTTGCTACCGACACCGCCGCGCTGCACTTTCTCCGGACCGCGTCCAAGGACTCCCTCGTGGAAGCTCTCGACATTTCGCCTCTTGTGGCCGATCGCATCCTCGACCAGCGTGCCGCGAACGGGTTTACGTCCATCGACGACATCAAGAAGATCACGCTGCGCAAGAAGGAACTCCTCGCCTTCCACGATGCCCTCGCACATGCCGCCACGAACACACGTCCTTACGACGACAAGAACCCCCCTCTCTCTCCCGTGAATGACCCCGACCCTGCTTCAACCATCAAACAACGTGGATCGTTCTCTGAAAAGACTCTCGAAAGATCTCAACGTCCTTGTCCCCGCCGTGTCGACTGCAACCGCCACGGCCGCTAACTACGTATGCTCCTTTCCAGCGCCACGATCATCCATATGCTGTGCTGTATATATTCATCCCACCATCCATATTGCGTTCCGCCGTATCACTTAAGTAACCAACTTGCCATTCTTCGTCCATATCTCTACACTTCCCACTCGTGTCACGACGATAGTTGATCCACAAACGATGGGAACCGATTCGGGTAAAACAGGAGCCCTTCAAACGTATCGTCCCGACACAACTTGCCCTTTTGCTCGGCGACCTACAAATAGTGTGGGATTCCTTCGGTACATGAACATGATCATCATCATCACGTGATATGTACGTACCTTGAGGTATTCCACGGCGAGCGGGAGCGAGATCTTGAACGCGCGCGACACGTCGGCGGACGTCACGCATCCGTCGGCGGCCGCTGTCGCGAGGGTCTCCAGTCTCGTGGCCACGCGGTCTTCGTTGTGTGAATCTAGTCACACCATGTTTCTGCATATGACGACAACGAGCATGCATGAGGTGTGAACGTACCTGCTTGGAGCACGATGAGTCCGCCGTCAAACTTGCGCATGTGAATGCCCAGGTGGAGCGGCTTCTGCAGGGCGGCGGCATGATACAAGTCCTCGGGAGAGATGAGCTCGGACCCTCTGGCGCGGTTGAAGAGACAGTAGATGTCCGACAGCGTCAAGATGCCGCCGGACGCGTCCAGAGGCAGCTTGACGAACGACGCGAGCTGCCGCGCCAGCTGGACGTGGTACGCGTCGCCAGAGTTCTCGCGGGTCACAGGGGACGCAATGCCCATGTTGAGCAGCACCGATTGCATCTCACTGACGTCGTCCGTGGAAGGAGCCGCGTCGGCGGCGTCGGCCGAAGTCGCCGCATTGCTTGTGGCCACATATCGCTCGATGAGCCCGACCTACACTCGAACGAGTGATGGTCGTGGACAAAGAACGTTGATTGTTGGGGTTTTTTACCATGTCTTTGGCCTTGTCCATGAGTGCATGCAAGTCGGAAAACGACTGCGTCGTGAGCTCCGACGTATGTTTCTGCTCGTCTTGGCGCCGCTGCATGATCCCACCGATCCCCGCGGCACTTGCGTCGAATTGCCGCGTCTGTTGCAACCGACGGTCCGCGAGCGCACTCGGCGCCTTCGTGTCCGCCCATGCTTTTCGCGCCATCGCCGCCTCGAACGGACTAAAGAATTCGTCCCGACCGCCCGTCTTGAACGAAAGCTTCAGGAACTTGGACTCGCTCGTCTGCCACAGATAATCGACGCGGATCTTGGACGAGCGCGAGAGGAACCCGGATTCCTACAAGTATGCATGGTGTCGATACGACATCCACATGAACAGGTAAGTACTGTCTGTACCTTGCTCAAGCGGTCGATCGCCGACAAACACATGTAGATGTGCGTGCGTTTCGCTTCGCTCAACCAAAGCAGCCGATGTGTGGTGATCACACAGCGCCCTCGGGAATAGACGGACTTGACGTTGCCGTCGTAGAGGCTTACATGCGATTCACTGTACACTTCCACCTCGGACGGCCACAACTCAGGTCTTCCTGTGTCCGTAAGCGGTAGCTCTATACGCAAAATCATTCAAACGTTTCAACTGGCCTATCTATTATGTCGCATGTACCTGAGAACACTTCGATGGACACGACGTTGCGCGGCGCCGACAACGCCTCGTTGACTTCGGCACTCATTTCAAAACAAGCAAGGTGCATCTACGGATACACAAAATACCATCCGGATATACGTGACCTTGTATCCGGAGTAAATAGCCTCAGTGTTGTATGGTATACAAATTCCAAGCTACGACGCAATCTTGTGAATCTGTCAAGGCGCTCCTTGACAGATTCGCCGACACAGAGAGCCATGAAGCTTCCGAACGCCGGCTCCATCTTCTTTCTGCTGTGCTTGATCAACCTCCTAAACTACGTGGATCGAGGCATCATCCCAGGCTCCCCGATCCAATTCCAGAGCTTCATTACGACGTGCATCATGGGCATCCCCGACATGTCACTCGCACACGAAAACATGTACCTCGGTTTGCTCGTGTCGGCCTTCATCGCAGGTTACTCCATCTTCAGCATCCCATTCGGCTACTGGGCGATCCACTGCCGCCCATTCCTTCTCATCTCGGTGGGGCTGTCCATTTGGATCCTCGCCATGCTGCTTTGTGGGCTGGCGGAACCTACGCACAGCCTCGGTCTTCTCTTCGCCGGTCGCGTCCTCAGTGGCATCGGCGAATCTTCCTTCCAGGCCATTGTCCCTTCCTTCATCGAAGACTTTGCGCCACCTTCGAAACGCACGTCGTGGCTCGGCATCTTCTACTGTGGCATCACGCTCGGCACCGCCGCCGGCTACTTTTACAGCGCGTTGTTCGCGACGTCAGCTCTTCGATGGCCGTGGGCGTACTACACGGAAGGCCTGGCTATGATCCCCCTCGTGCTTTTGTGCATGTTTTGCATCCCAGCGAAATTCGACCTCCCTAGCGGACACCAGCACATGGAGCCGATTTCGTTCGTCAAGGAGCTGGGCGGCATCCTCCAGAATCGGCTCTTCATGATCATGTCGCTCGGGTCGTCTGCGTACGTGTTTAGCATCTCGGGGCTGGCCGCATTCGGTCCGTCGCTGCTGATCGGGCTCGGCTTGTTCGAAGAAAGCTCGGCGGCGATGGTCTTCGGCAGCATCATCGTCGTAGCGGGTACGATCGGGACGCTGCTTGGCGGGTACCTGTTGGACCGTAGCTGCACCGGCGCCGACGACGAGCTGTTCCGCCTCGGCATGGCCACGCGCCAAGCCGTGGCCTTCCTTGTCGTCGGCACCTCTGTCCTTCTCATGTCGTGGGTATGCCTGGACCAGGACCTGAACATGGTGAGCATGGTGCTGCTGGCGGTCGCCCTCACCTTCCTCTTTGGGTGCGTCCCCGCGTCCATCGTGGCTCTTCTTCTGTCGGTGGAGAAGCGGAAGCGCGGCCTCGCGCTCGGCATCAACACGATGATGTCGCACTTACTAGGCGACGTGCCATCCCCCATCGTCCTCGGCATGTTCAAAGACTTCCATGCGCCGCAGTGCCGCACCATTCCGAATGACGAGGTGCTGCATCCAGACTGCGCGCACGACCGCCGTGGCCTCAAGCTGACGCTGCTGCTGCCGTATGTATGGCTCCTCTGGGCGATTCTGCTGGCAGGCGTCGGCGTGTGTCTGGCTAACAAGCGAACCCCCCCCCCCGCCACCATTCCCCAAGATACAAAGCAAAGCCAGAGTGGGGGGACGTCGAAAGAGGACTGCTGGCCCGTGGAGGTTGTGATGGCGTCGTCTGCGATACTGTTGTAGTCGGCATCGTTATGCTGTAAATTAAACTGAAGATTTTGACTTTCTTTGGATCCCGTGGTTTGCGGATGACACGAGAACCGACTGAACTTGGTACATGTGTTAGGTTGACATTGTGGTAGGGCTACTAGTAGTAGTAGTACTAGTACTTCTAGTGGAGGTACTAGGACTACAATTGCCTTGGTTGATGGACGCAATGGACTCGATCTTGGCGTCTCTGTACAGCTGTTCAATCTTGTGCAGGAGGTCCTTCTGCGCAGGTTTCCGGAGGTTGCCGCACACTCCGTCCGTGGCCAATCGGACCAAATGCGCCTTGCGATACCGTCCCTAGGCACCGTGTCACATATATATATTTCAAAAAACGACTATATTTCGAGATTTTCACAAGGCGTACTTTGTTGGCGTCGATGAACGCGAGCAGCTCGGGTTCTTGAAAGTAATACGCTTTGATGTAATTGTGCACGTACGCGCGTCCCCATCGGTGCTCACTCGACTGGTTATTACTAGCCATCATCATGAAGTAGTACTAGTAATACTAGTAGTACTAGTCGAGTAGTACCTGACAGTATGGTTGATCAGGTCCAACCCATTTTGTAACGCCATGAGGTCCATGGACATGAGCGCGCGGCCCTCCGCCGAGCATTTCTTGACGTTCGCGTACCCGTCGACCAGCGCTTCCATCACGGCGCGCACGACCACCGCCCACAATTCATCTCGCACGGCCACGGGCACCGCGCTGCCTTGCAGAGTTCCTGTCAAAGCCATCATATTGTCAAGTCGATTCGAAATTGGTCAATCCAATGAATACCCAAATCAGCAGACAATCGATATACGACCAATCAAAACCCAGATTACGGATCAACTAGCCAATCAAATCATCCTCTCTTCGACCAATTCAACATCGAATTAGTGTGTGATTGAAATTAGTGTGATACTGGACGATCTTGACATACAAAAGCATCAGGACAAATCTATCTATATCGATCGATGGATAGATTTGGCAAAGAATCAGCACCCAAAAATCAACCCAATTTTGGGTAAAAGCAATATCATATTCACTTTTCAAGTAAACTTACCCCAGAAGAGACCGCAGTGGCGTACGAGGGTGACCACGTACTCGTTGTGCCGGGTACCGACGACGTCCCACGTCGCATGCTCAATCAGGCGCGGGATGCCCGCCGCATGAATGGCTTGGGGCACGAGACCCGCGTACACGTACGCCCGCGCTTCGTGCACGACCAGCGCCAACACGTCGTGACGCTGTTGGTCGTGAGCAGCGATGATCGTCGACAGCACGTGCCATTGAAACGCAACGGATTCGACGGCCACGATGCGGCGCACAAGGGTGTCGTCGTCTGATGGACCGTCGGGAGGCAGATGATGCGGCGGGTGGTTCTGCTGGTTCTGGACGAGGACCCAGTCGCGGAGGTGGTGGCATGCCAGGTCTGTGGGCGTCTGGCGCGCCAAGAGGCGGCTGATGCTGGCATCGGGGCAGCATCGTCGGAAGATTGTGTACAAGTTGAACTCGAACACGGCCAAGAGGTGTGCATACAGATGGGTGCGCACCCACGCCATCTCGTGCACCCACTTGACGTACTGGCCACACACGCTGTCGCATATCTCAACATCAACCCCTCAGATTATCCACATCAGTCAACTTGTATACCGTAGAAATCCAGAGTACGTGGACCATGTGACAACGTGCGTAGATCCAAACAGCTCTTGTTCGTCGGGCGTTGCATTCACGTTCATCTGGTGCGTGGGTGCTTGGTCGTCGGCTTCACACGTTGGTCCGCAAGTTGCTACGAACTTTTCCATCGACGGCACGTTAATGTAGCGCGAACGGGCGGCGCCGCCTTGAAATGGATTCCACCACGCCGTTGGTGTACGGGGCGATGATGATGATGGGCATGGCGGAATGGGCTGGGTCAATGTAAACCCACTGCGGGACTCCAACAGCCTCCATATGTTGTTTGCAGTGTCGACGGACAAGCGCTCCCACTTCTCCGTGTCCATCATCATGCGCATCAGCTCCATATTGTCGTGCAGCAACTCTGTCAGAAACACCAGCACCGTCCCTACGAACGCGCTCTGCAACCTACCGCCACCCTGTCATGTGCCATACTAGTAGTAGTAGTCTATCTAGTATGTACTACTACGAACTACTATGAACGTACGTGTTGCCTTGTATCATGTCGGTGCTGCTGGTCTTAGCAAAGTCCATGCCCATCGCCACCAGCGTTTCCGTCGCGTGTGTCAGCCCCACCACATGCTCCACCTTGGTGTCTATAATATAGGGGACAAATCATATATATATATATATATGGAACAACATATATATATACTGTATATATATATATATATATATATATATGGAACAACATATATATATACTGTATATATATATATATATATATATATATCTGTACATATTTCTACACCAGATGTATATATATATATAGATAAAACACCACATATTTTAAGCCTACCATTTGGCCACGTGAGTCGGGTCCATGCATCGCCCATCCGACGTTGCAGCGACTCCCACATAAGCGGCCGGACCTGGCGGAATGCGTCGGCAGCTGCCGCGTCATCCCTTTCACCACGTTTCTCATGCCATTGCTCAAACAAGTCCAAGTTGTGCAGCAACGACGCCAGCAATTCGTACACGTTCAACACGGCGTCCACAACCTACATTTTGTAAGCACAATCACGATACCTCTAAGCCAGGATAGCCGACAGACAAAATGCAATGTACTAGCAGTGTGTACCATCGCAATGGAAGCCCCAGTGGACGTCGTGTCCAACAGGTTGGCCACGGCGCCGCGCGTCAGCTCGTCCATCGCCGCCACCACCACGCGGACCACGTCATCGGTGCCGACGACTGCCCGCATCGGCGAACGTCCAGTAGGCGGCGTGCCCTTGGAAGGTGAGGAGGAGGACAGATGGGCGTCCAGCGCAGCCAGCGCACGGAGCAGTTCGTCGTACACGTGGCCATCGAAAGACACGAGCAGGTCTCCAAGTGCCTGCGTTCGATGGTTGATAGATTGGCCATAGAGAGAGAGATATCGAGCGTACGCTGTGAAAATGCTGGCGGAGCTCTGGCAGCGCTAGGTGCATGCGCTGGATACACTGTTTCAGGACGGAGAACTGGTGGAGGTGGGTCGCCCTGTGTCGCAGGGCCGCGCAGACGCGCACGGCGCGCTCGAACGCCTTGTCGTGGACCGCAGCGACCATGTCTTGTTCGTGCTTGAAGCAGTCGAGGATGCTTGAGGCGTGGTCGACAATCTAACAGATAAGAAGAAGTGGCTGAGCAACAGGACGGACGAAAACAGAATGCGGGAGGCAGACCGTGTGCACGCGGTCGCGATTGCGTCGGAGTTTGACAAGTTCCAAGTGACTCATGACCAAGTCCTTCTTGTGAATGGCCAGCAGCCGCCGCCCATTCTTGACCTGGATCAACGCCTGCGCCAAGTCCAAGTCCACTTCCTGCACGTGGTTCATCCCTGGGTGGTGTTGATGTCATGTGCGACGATGCGGTGAATCATCGGGATCGAAGGATGATGCAACGGACCTTGGATGAACGTGTGGTAGTTGCGCTGGATTTCTTCAGCCAGTTTGGACGTGACCACATCCTTGGCAATGTCCATCGCGCCAATTTCAGATTGCAAATGGTCGATGAGGGCAAACGGGTTGGTGGGAAGCGACTCCTGCACAGGGATGGGTATATGACACGATCAATGGCGTCACGACAAGCATACCAGCATGTGCTGGACAGGGTCGAAGTGCTGCGTAAAGAAGCGTGGATCCAAGTTGTTCAGGACCGAGTCCTCGGATCCGAGCGCATCCAGGGACAAGCCTTCCTACAACCCTCATCGTTCACATGGCTGCTTCGTTTTCATACTCTGACCGTACCGAGGCCATCGCAGAAGACGGATCCATCCTCTCTGGGCTCTTCTCCGGACTTGAGGGAGACCCCATCGCAGTCTGTCTACTACGTTACCAGTAACTCATGAGCATTGTCCACCAACCCGCCCCATCAACGTACTGCATGATGTGGGTGTTGGCAAATTGTAAACAAAATCTTCCACACTGTTAAAGTTATCCGGAATTCTCTTATCCGGTCACATGGTGGAAAGTACATCCGGATAAAAACACAGAAAACGATACATCCGGATAATGCATGTCACCATGAATTACGCCATTGATTGGATATAATCCGGCAATTATGTCCAATCCATAGCACAACACTTGTCACTCCCGATATGGCAGTGGAAACGGCGTTGCATGACGGAGCTGCCTCCACGTCAGATGAAGAGGATAAAGCGTCCGCGTCCCCTCCATCCGTGTGGGATCAGCGACCCACCAAGTACAAGAGTGTGCTCTGGTCTGTGTGTGGATATGTCCTTCTCATGGAACTGGCTGAACGATTGAGCTACTATGGCATCAACCAAGGGCTCAAGAACTTTATGCAGATGAAGCTGGGTTGGTCGGCCGTGTCTGCAAACAGCCTCAAGAGCACGTGGACATCGCTTGTGTACATGTCTCCACTCATGGGTGCATACATCGCAGACGAAAAGTGGGGACGATACCCCACCATCACGACGTTTGGCATGCTGTACCTCGTGGGCGACGGCCTCCTCGCCGTCGCGGCCCATCCGTCCGTCCTTGCGCACCGCGACGTGGCCGAGGGCATCTTCATCTTCGGACTCTTTGGGTGCATCGGCTTGGGCACGGGCGCGATCAAGTCGAACGTGATTACGCTTGGGGCCGACCAGTTCAATCCGACCGACGCGTCGGAAACCCATCAAAAAGCTACGTTTTTCAGCTACTTTTACTGGTGCATCAACTTTGGCGCAGCGTTCGCGTACGGATACCTGGCGTCGCTATCCGTAAACGGATCGTCCATCGTCCCAGTGGACTTGGGGTACTTTGCGTGCTTTGCCATATGCACATGTGTGATGGCGTTGGCATTGCTGTGTCTGCGACTTGGCCGGGCCAGGTACATCCAAGTGCCGCCGTCGTCGGACGCCATGTCCCAACTGGTGCGCGTGCTGTGGCAGCGTCGCACACGCAACGTCGCTGCCAGTCGCATTGTGTGGGGCTTTGGGCTGTTCCTGCTGTCGTTCGGGCTCAACATCGTCGCAGCTGTCTCCGTGTCGGGTCGGGTGGTGCTGAGTCTCTTGGCGGGGGTAGCCAGCTCCGTGGCCATTGTGTGTTGGGTCGTGTATGGCCAACGGCAAATTGGCGACGATGACGACGATAACGTCACTCATGATAACGTCATTGTTGATAACGTCATTGTTGATAACGTCAGCGCCAAAACGTCGTCAAGTGCACGGGAAGATACGGACGCCGTGCAAAAGGTGGTTCGGATACTCCCATTTGCAGCGTTTACGATCGTATGGGGTTGTGTATCGGACCAAATCGACGCCAACTTTCAGTCCATCACGCAGCAATGTGACCTCCGTCTGACCGCAACGACCCAAGTACCAGGGGCGATGCTGGGCATATTCGACCCCCTCGCGATCATCGTGCTCATTCCAGTGCTCGAGTCGGGGGTGTACCCCCTCTACGAACGGATCACCCTGTCGCCGCCGACGGCCTTTGGCAAAACGTCGGCGGGGCTGGCCCTCGCGGCGTTTTGGATGTTTTACGTAGGTTTGTTTGAGATAGTCCGACGGCGCAGTGGGCCCGTGGACGGAAACGCGCGAGATGCAGGCAGCGGCAGTCCCATGAACAACCTGCATTGGGCGTGGAATGTTCCGCAGTATGTGGGCGTCGCCCTCTGCGAATGCTTGATCAACGTCACAGCGTACGACATCTTTTACACTGAAGTGCCGCTGCATCTTAAGAGCACAGCCCAGGCAATCAACCTGTTTACGGTCAGCATGGGCAGCAACTTCACGTCCATCTTCACGCTAGCGTTTGGTCAGTACATTCCGAATGACCTCAATGTGGGACACGTGGAATACATGTTCTTTGCGGTGGGCACGCTGGCCCTGGTCAACGTGGCGGCGTACATCGTCGTCATGCGACGGATGCAGTTCGGGATGTCCGCCTCTGGGTACGGACTTGTCGCCGCCTCGGACGACGGCACCGAAGAAAGGACCCTCACCGCCTCCGATATCTCGTCAGATGCCGACCGCGACACCGCGTGCTCGAGCGACGATGATCACCCTCACTCCGTGTAATTGCAAAACGAGCAAAGTACTACAGTACTAGGGATGACAATCCGGATAACATCGTCGCTGTGTCCGGATAATCGCAATTTCATGTCGAGTCATTTGACATTCATTTGTTCGGATCAGACAGGCGCGACGGCATGACGCGAGAGAAGAAGCGGCATCCCGTGGTGTTTGTGCTCATTGACGGTATTGGGGACATGACGATTGACATATCCAAGTACCGAAGCGCTCGTGGAACGCCGGGCACGACGTTGCAGGCGGCGCACACCCCCGCCATGGATGCGATTGCCCTCGCTGGGCTGAACGGGCTCCTCGATCCTGTCGAACCTGGCATGGCGTGCGGAAGCGACACGGCGCACATGTCCATCTTCGGGTACCCCCCGACCAAGCATTATCGCGGAAGGGGGTCGTTCGAAGCGATGGGCGCGGGCCTCGAGATGGCGCCTGGGGACGTTGCGTTCAAATGCAATTTTGCCCACCTCGATCGCGCGTCCAACATCGTGACCATGCGACGCGTGGACCGCAATTTCCACTCATGGGGTACGGACCTGTGCCCGTTTATCGGGTCGCTCGCGCTCCCATCCTTTCCCAACGTCCGCGTGGCCTGCAAATACGCCACGGAACATCGGTACGCGATTCCGTTTTTACTTTATATGACGTTTGCATTATGTTGGGTATAGATGTGGGATTGTGTTCCATGGCCCGAACTTGTCAGATCAAATCACGGGCACGGACCCGTTGAAAGACGAGCTGCCCCTTCTCAAATCGACTCCGATAGACCCGACACTGCCCTCGGCTGTGTACACGAGCCAGGTACAGCAAGTGTTGCATGATGATGTCAAGGTGATGCTGACCTCATGTCCGATGGAAGGTGCTCAATGAAGCGTCCGCGGTAATTATCGACCGCCTCTCGCGCCATCCCCTCAACGTTGCGCGGGAAGCGGAAGGATTGGCCACTGCCAACTTGGTGTTGTTTCGGGGTCCTGGGGAACGCATCAATGTAAGACTCGTGAAGGTGAACGAATGGAACGTGATACCTGCCCATAGGTTCCCAACTTCGAGGCAACGCACGGGATGAAATCGTTCATGATTGCCCCCACGTGCATCATCGCAGGCCTGGGGAAGTCGTTGGACATGGACGTGATCCCCGTGGAAGGTGCGACGGGTGATTACCACACGAATCTGCTCAACAAGGCGAACGCTGCGCTCGATTGTTTTCGTGATCGAACGTATGATTTCGGGTTCGTGCACGTCAAAGCAGTCGACGACGCCGGTCACGATCGCGATGTCCACATGAAGGTATCAACTCAATCGTGATGGTATCGCGGCATGGCTTGACCGCATGAATAGATGCATTTCTTGGAAAAGGCCGATGAAATGATTGCTCGACTGATTGAAGGCCTGGATGCGGCGATTGAAGAAGAGGTTCGTCCACGATACCTTTGTACACGGAACTAATCGTTGTTGCGCAGGCAACAATCATCGTAACAGGTGACCACACGACCCCGGTGTTGTATGGGGATCACACATTTGAGCCAGTTCCGTTCACGATTGCCAATGTTCGTGCGGCGGCTCGCGTGCTTCGAGGGGACGCTTCCACCCAGGGGCATGTACATTCCCTTCAGGACAACGTGGTTCAGTTCTCAGAAGTCGATGTCGCGGGGGGGGTGCTCGGTCGATTCACCGGCGACCAGGTCATGACGATCGTCAAGCAGTTCCGTGCGCAGAATGTTTGAATCTGCCGCCCTCTGCGAAATATAAATGAATAGAATATTAATTTGTCGTGTCAATACATACTTGAAATCACCTTTGACAAACGTTAAATATATTATACTTGCGACATCGTGGGATAAAAAGGTTCAGACGCCATTTTCCAATTTGTTTCCGTCAACACGACAATCACATGTCCATCGTCGGTAAGGAGAACAAGACGATGAACCAGCTCCTAATGGAAGGCGAGTGGAACATCTATTACGTCTCCGCGCTGTACAAATTCCAACAAGACCGCGAAGCGTTGACCACGGACGCAATGGACCTTGTGGTCTTCCTTCGAACCGCGGATGATCGCGACTTGAAGCCCCATCAAGGTGTGTCCGTGAGCGTCCGATCGAACGACGACATGGCAGTGTTTTCGATCCAAGAGCAAGTTGCAGGAACTGGTGGGGCGTCCGGGCAGTTGGTGGGGGCATTCGTATACTACACCCCCCAAGGCCATGAAGGGGTTCCTTCCTTATGTGCACCGCAACTTCTCCTCCTTCAAGGCAACGAGAGTCTGGTAAAAAAAGTATGCGGATGGGTCCAGCACCGATACCAGTGTGTGGTTGCCCTCCAGTCCCTTCGCATTCGATCTATATGCATGGAGCAATTCGCGCAGTCCCTTTTTCTTCACATTGCAACCGAGTCCGGCGATGGTAACGTTAGCTAGTTTGCAGCATCTTCATTGACTCGATCGTTTTCATGTAGGACACTCGAATGCTGTTCATGCTCCGCTGAAATTGACACTACGCCGTGAAGGTGATGTGAAGGTGGTGCGCAGTATCACAATCTCCATCCCATTCCACGATATCCTGGCCAAGCATGAACTTGAGAGGTAGCACATCTACATGATCATGCCGCCACGGTACGTCTAACATTGTATACGACAGGGAGCGTCGGGACACTCTGGTTGAACAAGGTACGACACAGCTTGACGCCATTCCCAGTGTCTGACGATCTCGTAGATCACATGATTCGGTCGCTCTGCCTCCCATACTTTTCCCAGCTCTCGGAAGACTTGGAGTCATACTGCCTCGCCGCTGTCTCGTCAGACGACTGCGAGCTAGACAACCGCGGCATCTTTCGGATCCTCCGCACCGACCGCGTCTCAGAGCTACTCAGCGACCTCGTCGACATTTTTACCGCTCAGGACATAACAATTCCAGAAACTCCAGAAACCACACTGTAATACATTATTGTTACCCATACCGACTAAAGTCCAAGCTCATGGACGTCGTGGGGGCTGCCGCCGCCGCCGCCGTCTTGTCCACCAACGCCTGTCGCAAGGCAGTCTGCAGGGCGCTTCGCATGTCTTCGCCCATTCGACCTACTGCCGCCTTGAAACTTCCGCTGAACATCGTCGCAATGCTAATGAGCATGCGGCCTGTGGTCGTGGGCTGGGACAGTCGAAGGAGCAGCGGCAGGACGACCTGCAGCCATCCTTCGCCGGCCCCATGCACCTCCATCCCAGTCATCAACACCGTCATCCACGCTTCAACCTCGTCACAGACGTCCTTGGAAATGAGTTGGACACCGTCTTCATGCAGCAGTCGCACCACCGCCATTCCCATGCGCTGGGAAACGACGGGAATGCCAGCTAAAGTCCTCGAGCACGCCAAGGCGGCGACGGCGGCGGCGTCCATGCTAGTAGCGCTGACTTGATGCATCCACGTCGTAGCAATGCGATCGTGGAAGTCGCTTAAGTCGACGATGGTCCCCACGTGGGTGGTCACGGAACTCACGAGTTTGGCTGCAAATGGGACGACATGGCCCGTCGCGAGCCACTCGATCGTGTCGACGAGGACGCGGAGGCTGGTCGCGAGGGCCGGCGACAGCTGCTGCGCCGCCTCCACAGCATGAAGGTCGACGGAAGTAGAAGCGGCCACGACACATCGCAGCGTCGCGTCCACGTAGAGCACCGCCGTGGGTTCGAGCCAGTCGCAGGTCAGACCAAAGTGGCGCAGGACGTCATTGGCCACGAGAATAAACGCAGGACCGAACGACGGATCCAACGGCAAGAGGACGGCGGCCCCGGCGGCGGCGGTCCGCATCCCTTCGACGACCACTGACGATGAAGCCAGTTTGACGTGGCGTGCAGTGGTCGATCGAAGCACGACGGTGGTCGCAAGATGTAGTTGCTGCAGCGTCGTCTGCCGCGCCATCGAGTCGACAGAGGCCATGGCGGCGTGGATGTACGTGGCGCCGTCTTTGGTCGACAGAGCTTGGATGGCTCGAAGGGCGGCGGCTTCAACTCGGTCGTCGGGGTGGGATGCCAGCACAAGAAGAGTGTGGAGGACGTTGCCGTACGTGTCTGGAGTGATGGACGTCCAGTCCAGCATGCTGGGAAGGGCCTCTAGCACCGTGAGAACGCCCGAAACGTCGGTCGTTCGCGCCGAAAAGTACAAAAGGGCGGCTGTGAGCAGCGTCGTTCGGTCGGCAGACCGTTGAGCCAGGGCGGCCAGAAGCACGGGGGTTTGGGCCATCGCGACTGCTTTCAGCACGTCCAGATCCCGCGTGGACGTAAAGAACGTTCCTCCGAAATTCGTGGCTCCAGCGGGGGGGGGCACGAGCAGCAAGCAGAAATCGCGCACTGCGTCCGTCCATGCCGTCAGGACATGACGAGGCAGGACGATCGCGTCCGCGGTGGCGACTAGGGCGACGCGCGCGAGGCTTCCAAGGGTGGTGAGCGCGAGGCGGAAGCGCAGCGTGTCGTCGCACATGGACGCGTCGTAGGAAAAGTCTGGTTGACGGAGCAGCAGCTTCACGAGACGGTTCACCGCAACTTTATCCGTGATGATCTTGTTGGCAATCACGTGGGCGATGGTCACCGCGCCTTCAAGCTGCAGCGGTTCGTAGCCGCCCAATACTACCGTAGACGACGAAGCAAATGGAGGCGACGCCGGGTCCGAGGCAAACGCGCGGCGGACGGTGGACGACAGCTGCGCTTGGTACTGCACCAGCAGCGTTTCGTCGGGGAGTTCAGGGTCCACGCCGCCAGCCATGGCTTGACACACGACGTTCAAGAGCGTCATGCCTGCGCTTTGGAGGCGCTGCAGCTCAAACCCGTCCATGGACATGGCGCTCATCTGACACGCGAGGGTCACGAGTTCGTCCACGTACAAACTGACAAAGTTCACATTGTCGTGTTCGGACGCCAGCCTTGTTATTGCCGCACGGGCCTTGCCCACGTCAAAGTGCACGGACGCAACGGCGGAGGTCGAGACGAGGTCGAGGATGGCCACGACACTGTGCACGGCAAACTCGCGTACGCGGCGGTGCAGACAAGGAATGTCTGCGAGAGTGGCGCAGATCCGATGGTTGGTCCGGCGCCAAATGTCGGACGAGGTCGAGGGGCTGCCTTGCGATACGGGCGAGTCCGGCCCCCCTCGTCCTCCCCTAGGACTGCCGACGTCGTCTGTGGATGGAGGCGGCACAGACACGACGCCGCCGACTGCTAGACCTCGACATAACAACAGCCATTCGCACGCTTTGTTGCCGTTGTGAAGCTTCTGAACGCCGCAGTCGGTGACCAGGAGCGCTGTCAGACACCCCTGGAGTTCTGCGACGGGGTTGGATGGCACGTGGCGGTGGTGGCCAGTGGCACACATCCCTCGAAAGGCCGGCAAGAGCGGGTAGTCGGCGGCGATTTCGTGCACTTGAAGGGCTTGGAAGAGCACGAGGTGCAGATTTTCCTGGTGGATCACGGCCGGGTCGCGCTCGACGAGGATGCGGACGATGAGCAGCATCACGGCTCGGCACTCGGCTGGCGTCGACACAGCGGGTTGGCGCAGCAGTGCTTTGACTCGCGTGAGGTCGCTGGTTTTGAAATACGACGGTGCAAACAGCACCAACTGTTCGATGAAGCGGAGGTACTCGAGCTCGACCCTCGGGTCGGGAGTCATGCGGAGGAGGTCCCAGAAGACGTACAGTTGGTCGATGCGGTTACCCCCCGCGTCCAAGAGTTCGGGCCCGAGGGCCGACACGATGCTGTTGATCACCTACAGCCAAAAAAGACAGATTAGTGTTCAACATTGTATTTCTATTTGGACAAATCATGCATGTAGCAAACAAACCCACCTGGCCCATGGCAACACACACAGACGTGGACGCACGAAGGGTGGGGCCTTTCTTGGCGGTCGCGGCCGACACAAAGCGACAGCCCACGACGAACTGCAGCTCCATCAGGTGCAGCGACGGCGCCACGTACTGGTCTTCGTAGTCGCCTGACGTGTTGACACACTCGAGGAGGAGACTCCACGCCCGCAAACTCCACGTGCGCAACGGCTGGGCCATCGAAAACACGTGCTCCTGACTCAGCCGGTACAGCAGCGTAACGTCGACAGCGCAGCGGGACCCACAGCTCCGTTTGAGGTGGGCTAGGGCCAGGGCGCTGCCGGCCAAGAGCGCCGATTTGTGATCGTGCTGGTGCGTGCCGATGTGGGTCTCGAGGTCGGCGACCAGCGACCGAATGTGCGATTCGGACATGAGCGAGGCCGCGAGGCCGAGCGCTTCCGCGGCCGCCACGCGCACGGCGTCCACGCTGCTGCCGAGCAGTTCCAGTAGCATACTCTGGACCGTCAATGGCCACGTCGCACGGTGGTAGACATGTGGTTGCATGAGGCGACGGGACTGCGATTGCGCCTCGCGGACAGTCGCGAGTAGCAGCGCCGACACGTTCACGACCACGTCCAAGTGCACTTTTGGGTCGGCTAACACGCCTGCAAAATGCTGCAGCACGCGCAGTTGGAGTTCGTGTGGAATGACCAAAAACAGCGACGGGAACAGCTGGACACTGGCATCCACCATCCGAACGTACGTGAACGCACTCGTCCTGGGCAGCCCTGTCGACACAAAATGGTCCAAATACGCGGTTTCCAGCTCAATGTCCGACATGGCCGTATCGGGGAGCAGGAGCGTGAGGGTGAAATTCAACGCGTCGGGGTACATTGGATCGGGCAGGTCCCCCGCGACGAGCCGGACGACCGACGCGACGTCGGACAGCGGCACGGCCGTCGTGGTGGGCGGCACGAGCGTGGATCGAGCGAGGGACGTCAGCGACTGCGCCGTCGTGAACTCGGCTACGAGATCCAGTAGCGTCATCCACGAATCCGCCACGAGGGTCGGCGGCACCAGCGTGAAGCACTTGAGCAGCCATGCCAAAACGCGATGTTTGGCGACTTTGGCGCGCTGCTTGGACGGAACGCCCATGCTCAACACACTAGTCAACGTAGCATGCAAGAGCTGGGCAAAGAACGGCGCGAGGCCGATCGGGTCTGGCGGGAGCGTAGTCAGGTACATATGGAGGGCCACCAGCGCGCCTTCGAGACGCAGCAGTTCCTGCGACAGATCCCGCGCTTGGGTGGTGGTAGCGGTGCTCCAGAGGCTGCAGAGGCGGGTGGTCTGCGATGCCGTGAAGGGCACATGCATGGGCAAGAGCGCGCCCACGAGTTCCCACCCCGCGCGTGTACACGTGAGCCAAATAGGGTCGGCTAAGTCGTCCCGTCGGAACTGCGACTGCAGCATGCGCTCGGCCAGGTCGAGAATACGCGCGTACAGGGTCATGGAGAACAACCCGTTGAGGGACGATCCGCTTTGGAGCTTGGCGGCTCGAAGGAGGTGGGTTAGCGCGGCGCTGTGGCCTTGAAGGGTGTACAAATCTGCGGCGCTCGCGGCCAGAGAAAGCGCGGCGTCGACTAGTGTCGTCAAGCGCTCCAGCACCAAGTCGACGATCGCTTGGCGTCGGTAGGGCACGGCGGTGGCTAGCGACGCCAGCGCCCCCGCCGCTTCCACCCGAAGGCTGTGCTTCTCATGGGTGAGCAAGTTTGTCAGCGTCAACGCAGCAGTTGAGGCGTACACGACAGAAGCTTCCCCCAACGCATGGAACAAGTGACTGCACTCTACCGCCAACACCAATCGCTGGTGGTGGCTCAACGCGGAACTGTCGTTGAATTGGCTTAGTATGGTGCGCAGCCACTGGTGCTGATCTCGCTCGTTGAGGGACTTGGCGGCGGCGCGGAAGGCAAAGCCCAATGCGTTGCGCACACGCACGTATTCGTTTGCCGACGGCAGCGGCAGATCCAGGAAGGACAAGAGGGCGGTCACCGTCGACTGAAAATGCGGTTCCGTGAGGTGATGACCACTCGTGTGGAAGAGGGTGGCGAGGACGACCGCGCCAGAGGCAAAGGTGCCGCCGATGCCGCCGTGTCCATTGGAAGTGCTGCAGAACGTGTCTTTGATGTACACGACGGCGACGTCGATGGACGGAAACGGAGACGGCGTGGCCTTCTTCTTGACGGCAGCCGATGTTGAGGCATTAGTGAACGCTCCGCCGACAGTCTCCTCATCGTTGCATGGGAGGACGTACATGCCAAGGAGTTGCCCCATGAGGGCGGCAAACGCGCGCCGAAGTTCAGGCGCGGGATCATCGAGCGTTTTCGATATTACGGTGTACAGCGCGTCCAGGGCCGCCGAGTCCGAAGGTTCCGCGTGGTCGACGAGGACTTGAAGGAGGTTCGCCGATGCCTGCCGGATTTCAGGGTACTTGTCGGTCAAGAACTTGGCGGCGACTTTAACGGCGTCACCGTGGAAGGACAGACCGTAGGAGCCGTATGTCGAGAGCGCGCGAGTGAGGCCGTCTACGACCGCATGGCGGACGTACAAGTCTGCGTGCTTCGCGTGCTTTGTCCCGAGACTGATGAGTTCAGGGAGGAAGCTCCCTGCGCTGTGTAGTTGCGAGTAGGTCCACTGGGACATGGCGCGGGCGATTGTGAGTTTCGAGCCCAACGTCGCGGTCTTGCTTACGAGAACGTCCATGCCTTCCGACACCGCCGATCCGTCGTATGCGAGGGCGAGGACATCGCAGAAGAGTTGCACGATGCAGTCGGAACCGTTCTGGTGCTTCGTGTGGTAGGCTTGAATGGCAAGCACGACCGCGCGGACAAGACCTGCCGCCACGTCCTTTCTTTGGCTAGTCGTAGCATTTGAAAGTAGAATCTTCAAGGAGCAGAGGGAACGAAGCATCTTCCGATGGGCATTTACATCCGAGAAGCTCAATTCCGCAGACTCGTGGATCGCAGCACTAAACTGCCTCACCTGGTCCTTCGCGGAGCCGCCGACGACATCGGGGCGACTCATGCTGACTTGGCGCGGTCCTACTGGTCCGTTCGGAATTGGGGCGTCGAATAGCGAACAGCAGCGTATTTTAAATACAACAAAGTCGAGTTTTCAATACAAAAGGATATTGTAATATTTTGAATATTCTTATCTTCAATCAAATGGCGTGTTTTATTGTTTTAAACGTCCAGCTAAAAGTGTTTTGCATTTGGGCAATCCCAAAGATGAGCAACTGGGATGACCTGAAGCGAGAAGCGCGCGTGGTGGAGCGCGCGTTGGAGGAAAAGGTGAGTGCATTTACGACGACCGCCAAGAAGATGGAGCGAAATGCTCGCACGCATGATGAAGGTACGTGGAGGCATGATGTCGTCGGGTAACGTTAATCCAACCGTGATACTGACACAGAGAACCCTGGGGACAAGACCGATCAAGGGTTGGCGCTGGAGATTGAGCGATTCCTGTCCACCTTGACCGACATCATCGACCGCATGAGCAGAGCCAACGATGGATCCACGACACAAGAAGCCGTCTTGCAACGCTACCGCGAACTCCATTTCGACTTCAACACCGACTTCAAAAGGGCCCTCGTACGAGTTCTCACATCCTTATCATCCCGCTTCCTGACAATTGTGATGTTTATATGTAGAGCACCATGAACGAAAAGCTTGACGCCCAAAAGCTCTTCCAGAGAAAGTATACGACTTGACTCCTTGTCCATCCCTTCACCTCCATGTAGAGAAGCGAATCCTTCCGTGGACTCTGAAGCCGACGCCTTCCTCAAGGAGCGCGGCGTGCTCGACGCTTCGTCGTCCATGGCCAACGAAACCCTCAAGTAACCTCCCCTCGATCATCCATCCCACCATCCTCATACCCTCGTTCGTGACGACGTAGCGTCGCCCAAGCCGTCAAGGAAGCGCTGCTGAGTCAACGCGAGTCGATGGGTCGGTCGCACTCGAAAGGCACGACGTTGTCATCGTCGTTTGCCAGCATCAACCACCTCGTCGACCAAATCAAGCGCAAAAAGGTGCGCCACAATGCGATCGTGGCGCTCGTGGTCGCCGCGTGCGTCTGCTTTACGCTGTGGTGGGTCGTGTTAAGCCATCTTTAACTTCGTTCTTACAAAAACGTCCGCGTGACTTTGGGGGCGGCAAATCGCGCGCTCATCTCCGCCGCCTGCTGCATCAACGCCGTGGCCGCGTCCCCCGACAACTGCCGGCGACTCGCCATGTCCCGTTCCCTACATACACATCGCTCAATCCATGGAAATGCTACTACCTATATATATATCTATAAATCTACCGATCCCATCCAACCGGTCCACTGGGCTTGCCTGCCTTCTTCAACGCATCCTGGTGCTTCTCCAAGAGTGATCTGTCCCCATCCGTTCGAGCAATAGGCAACGCAGGGACAGCTACTACTTGCATCCTCTCCCTTGCTCGTACAGTTTCCGCCGCTGCCGCCGCTTCAGCCACCTCTGGCTTGCCAGGCACGTACCCCAGCATCTCCCTACAGTACATATTTCCACATACAGGTACTGTACCAAGCGTCGAATCTGGAGAAGGAATCGACGCAACCAAAAAATGTACACAGTAAGTATTGAGCCAATCAGATTGCAGGAAATCACCATCGAATTAGTGTGTGACTTCAATTAGTGTGATACCAAGCACCCCAGCACACATACAAAATATTCCGAATCGATCGATAGATTTGGCGATTCAGCACACAAGTCATCCAAAGTTTGGGTAAATGAACGGTGTACCATTGCGCTTTTTCCCGCATCGCTTGGTCTCGTTCGGCAGGGGATGCGAACCAGCTGTCGTCGCGCTCGTCCTTGTCCCGTCCGCGGAACTTGCGCGCGTTTTGGTCGCCCAATCCGCCGAGCGCCGCCTGGATGGACTCGTCATCTGGCAGCGACAGCATCCATTCTTCTCGTTGGAGAATCGGCTTTGACGCGGTAGGGGCGTCGATGACTTCACCGCGAACACGCTTCCACGCCAACGCGTCGTCGGCTTCTGCTTGCAGGCGCATGCGTTCTTGGACGTCGGCGCTGGCTTCGCGGAACCCCTTCATGCCAGGGAGAGCTGGACCAACGACGTCGTCGTCGTCATCGTCGTCCGCATGTGGAGGCCGTGGGGGTGGCATGGACGGTCCGATGGGACCCAAGACCCGCGGGGCTGCTTTGGGCTTGAGCATGGCAAGAGGAGGCGAAGGGGTCGGAGGCGGTTGTAACGTGCGGCGGAATGTGTCCAAGAGGAGCTCGTTCCGTTTCGCGAATTTGTGCTTGGAATATGCTTCGTTTGGCCCTGACTATGAAGGGATGAAGGATATTCAGCAAGACAGAGGCGATAGAAGTACATACCTCGACTAGCCCCATGAGCGGAAAGAGGGCGGCAAGGCGCGCCTTCATGTCCTTGTTCTGGATGGATATGTGAGATCGCGGGGTAGTCATGGACATTTTACCACAATGCCACCGATGACGACAGCTTCGCCGGCATCAACCATTTTCAAAATACTCGTCAAGTCGCCGACCAAGTCTGGGAATTCAACAACCAACGCCTCCATGTGCTTCAGCGCAAGCTGCGCGACAACACATGAGGCATCGCACACTCGAGCCGCAACATTGTCCACTTACGGGAATGTCCATCGCTCGCTCGACATCCTCACTCGACACTGACGAAGTCTTTCTCTTCTTGGACGACTATATGCAACACGCACGGTCATCCATCCACCTCCACGTGGATCTACTGCTGTTTGTGCTTATCATGAAGGTGTGCATCCATGCGTACCTTGTCCTTATCCTTCTTCCTGTCTTCTTTCCTGTCGTCCTTCTTGTGCTTGCGCTTCTTCTCATGCTCGTCCTTTTTCTTTGCCTTCTTCTCGTGCTTGCTCATGGTTGCGCTCGCCAAGACACAATTCTCCGGATAATGTTTGGAAGTTGGTATCCGTACATATGGACATTTCAGCACTGTGATATTCTATATTGTTGATCACATCTCTCGACGCCTTCCTCAACGAGCGGCGACGCGTCCATTCACTCATGTCGTACATACATCTCTATCCTATGACACCTCCATCTACGCCTGCTGGACTTCGGCCGACACGGACGCAAACATGGTGAGCATGCGGTGGTTCTCTTCGGGGGACCCGATCGTAGCTCGAAGGCAGTCGTTTAATAGGTGCTGGTTGCCACGGTATCGAATCACGACGCCGTTCTCGGCCATCTTTCGGTACACTTGGTATGCATTCGCACACTACACCGTGCCACGTCACGACCTCGCCACCTCATCCCCTCCTCGTCATTCGTCGTACCTCAAACAGCACAAAGTTCGAGTCGGATGCGTACACGGCCTTGACGTACGGCGACGCCTGCAGTGCGTCAATGACCTTTTGCTTTTCCTACACACACACACACGATAGATCAACACTGCAACTCAATCTCCATGGAGATTGAGCTACGTACGTCCAAGATGACGCGGACATTCGCATGCAAGCGATCGACGTTGGCGAGGGCATCCAATGCGACCTTGGACGACAGCTTGTTGATATTGTACGGCGCTTTGACGTTGCTGAGGATCTGGATCAGTTCTGGGTCGCCGAACGCAATGCCGAGGCGAATCCCAGCCAGCCCAAAGCCCTTGGACAGAGTCTGCGTCACGACCAGTCGGCGGTACTTGGTCACGAGCGGCGCCAGGCTGCTCTCGCTTGAGCCCGTAAAGTCAATGTAGGCTTCGTCCACGACCACAAACCCATTGTACTAGTCATGCCATCATCATTTGATGTATAGTCGTCGTTACTGAGCAGTAATACAGTACGTCGGGGGACGAGAGCAAGGTCTCGACGTCGGCCACGCGCAAGGAATTCGCGGTGGGGTTGCCAGGACTGCAAAGGAACATCACTTTGGTCGATGGAGTGACCGTTGCCAAGATCTACATACATTTTGCCCATGAGACAGATTGAACTCGAGAGGTATGTGGGAAGAGACGACGCACATGCGCAGGGTTGATGTGGAATGAAGCGAGTGAGTTCTACGTGGAGAAGGGCATGAGAACGTGGACAGAACTGTCGAGGGTACTTCGGAGGAGGACGTCGACGACGATGGAGGGACAATGACCAGGGGAGACTCGATGATGTTGACATCGTGGATGTCTGCGCAGACTCTGTACATGCCATACGTCGGAGGCGTGATCAATATGGAATCCACGCGAGGGATGCATGCAATGCGGATCATGAGATCGATCACTTCGTCGCTACCGACGCCAAGAAACACGTGCTTGTCTTCCAAAGGAGGACTGCTGTCGCGTTGGCTATGGAGGACAACATGTGACGTTTTGAGAAGACAAGGGCGACAGCGAGTACCGCAAGTTGGCCACGGCGGTCTTAAGATCGATTTGGTATGGGCACGGATATCGCTCGAGTCCTTCGTCCCGCAAGAGATGGTCGTCGTGTAATGGAGGTCCAAGGCTGTTCTCGTTTGCGTCTAGCAGTGTACCTTCACTGTAATCGTCGCGAGCACACCGGTACGGTGTCAGTTTAAGGATGTTTGGGCGAACGAGGCGGCGCACTTCGTCCTGTTGGTCCTCGATGGACAGGCCTTTGGTCGATGTTATGGCATCTTTGGAGCTTGCTGCCAAGGCATACTTGTGCAAGAGAAGACCCACGCCCAGACCGACGCCAAAGGTCGCGAAGAGCTCGACAGGCAACTTGGTCATGTTGTCGTATTAGCTTAGGTTAATGGACGTCCGTAGGTAGAAATTGCGATCTGCAGCACAATGCCAAAGATTGACACAAAGAAACCCGCCGCACACATTTTCTTCTGGTGCATGGAAGGAACTCTCAAATCGGATTGGCTTAAATATGAAATGCTGTGATTTGATTGGCCAAGTTAGTTTGCCGAACATCAGAATTTACACTCACAGGGATGACTTGCAAAGTCCATGATAAACTCGCCCAGTTTCGTCTTTCCACTGTTGCTTGCGTAATCATCTCCCATTCCTGGGGTTAAGTTACATCACCAGTGGTTAGCTAGCTACAGGGGTATGAATGCACTTCACCCCTAGCTGGAAATAAGAGCAAGTGAAATCATTGCGTACAGTAAGCAACAATGGAATGGTTGCTCTCAGAGAATTACTGGATTCACAGAGTACTAGTATACTTTACGGTACAGTGTAAGTCTGTATTTGTACGTCTGTGTTAGTACGTTTCCACACACACCACCAGTACAGTATACTGTACCGGTGGTCTCAATCGAATGTTGACCAATCAAAACCAAGAACACTAATCAAATGGCCAATCAAACTCATTCTTCGCCCCATGCAACATCGAATATTAGTGTGTGTGATTGAAATTAGTGTGATAATTAACGATCATTACATGATGATACAAACAATCGATCGATAGATTTCACATGACAATAGTACGACATCACTTGGACATGGTACAGTATACCGTCCACAAACACAGTGTCACTTGGACATGCATTCGAGTTTGTCTTTCGTGTAGTACAATACTTTACTGTACAGTGTTTATTGTAGCTCACAATGTCAGCAGAGTCAGTCCCATGGAATTGAAAATACTTGTCAACAACGTTTCTGTATTTGTCATAATATTACATCGACGTGTCGACGTGTTCGTTTCGAAGGGTAGTCACCGCCGCCGCGTATCGATTCATCGCAACCTGGGACTGCGGAGCCACCCACTCCCTACACATTACACCATCATCATCACATACACGTTTCTACTAGCAACTACCAGAGGAACAGGCCGCGCTTGGATCTCGCTTGAAAGCACTGGATGCGGCTGTCCGTGCCCAGCGTGTGCCGCACCGACGGCCACAACGAGTCGGCTTTGACGCGGGTAGGACCTTTGTACCCGAGCAGGTCCAAGATGGCTTCCCGTAGGTACGCCTCTGGGATGGCCGTGTGGCCCGGGAGGTTGGAAGTCGCGTGTAGCAGCAGCTCCTCTTTTGCACACACCACCAGTCTTTCAATCTAATCACTCCATGAACATGTCAGACTCGATGGAGTAGTACAGTTCAGGTATACGAACAATACCGTGCGCTGGTCCGATGCTGACAAGCCTTGGCTCAACCACAGCAGCAGCCCCAACGACACCACCAGCCCTGCGATCTAGTACATAGCATGTGATGACGTGGAAATATACTTCGAAGCATCGAAACCTTAGTACCAAAAGGGAGCGGTGGTGTAGGCTCAGTACTTGAACAGTCGATTCCAACGCTGCCATGCCGTGCGCCGCTACGGAGTGGACTAGGGGTGTGTGGTCTTGAGCCAGGACCAGGGCCAGCGTGACCAACCCACATGCAATCCCCGCGCCTTGAGTCAAGTGACCCAGCCACGCCCACGGAACGGACGATTGGCGAGCCCGCAGTCTGGTTTTCATGGGCGTCGTTCGAGTGACCCGAGGTTGCTTTGAAGCCTTTCGTTTGGATGAGATTGGCGACGGCGTTGGGGCTTGAGGCTGGGTTGGTCTGGAATGAGCTGGCGGCGGCGGCGGGCGGACTGCCTTGCGGCGAATCAGCTGGGGGATGTCATCGTCGTTGTTGACGGGTCCAGCATGGCGAGAGGAGGACGATGCGCCAGCATGTGGGGGAAGTCTGCGCTCTCGAGGTTGTTGCCCCAGAGATGGCTCCATACGCTTTGGAACATCGGTGGACGACGACCCTTCAAATGGCGCGTAGATGTTGATCCGGTCGCTATCGGCTAAACCATAGTGTTTCAGGTGGTAGTTTGACGTTGGAACGACGTTCTCCTTCACAGCCTGTTTGCGAAGCTTCGCACGAATGTCTTCGTCTTTCAATCGACGGAGAAGTTCGTAGCTTCGTTCGAGTTCCATCGACTTGGAGCGCACGGTGGACGGGATGTCCGTGATGTCAACAGAATCGTTCTTGTGTACACGTCGTTGGGGCTCAGGTCGGTGATCTGTAGCAATGCTATTTTTTGTGTCAACGGAGTATGTATCTTGTAACTTGGAGGGCTCGAGGGCCGTAGCAGACGACGTCGGTCGTCGAAGCGTTCGCGTCACCGGATCTTTGGCTATCGCTTCGCGAATGCGTTGGTCAGACAACGCCGCCATCCGCTTCCGTTGCTCTTCGTTCATAATGTCCTTCGCCTTATTGAGTCTTGTCACGGGGGACAGGAGCTTTGACGCTGGAGACAGCAGGTCGTCCGTCGGCATGGTCACCATTTTAGTCGTCCTTGCCGTTTGAAAATTCAAAATTATCCGGGTACAAGCTGTATCCGGATTGTTTATCACTCCCTACTACTAGTACTACGTAGTACGAAGTATTAATATTTTAATATTAATACTATTAATCATACGTACTGGAGTAACGTTACTATTAAAATAGTACTCCAGTACGTATGATTAATAGTACAGTACTACTTCGAAGTACTAGAATAGTACCTGGTCAGTACTACTACGTAGTATTTGAATAACGTTACTACTACGTAGTAACGTTAGCCGGGAAATTGGTGTACTAATAGTATACCGGTAGTCTGCTTCAAAATAGCGCCTGCACTAAGGTCGATTAACGGAGTGCTATACGTACAGGAGGGTTGTGATTGTCCTCAACCTCCTGGAAAGGTTGACGACGATTTGGCTTGTTATGACAACGGAAATACGAAAATTAATTTTATTGGATAAAAATAATAGAATACCGCAACTTGATTGGTGGTTCCTTTTTTTGCAAGGTTGGTGGTTTCAACCTCATCTCAATCATCGTGTGGTTTGAGCATTCGACGAGGCATGAGTGTTGTGCGGGTCCTGACACGCTCACTCAGCGGACGTGTCGCGAAGACGTCTCCGTTCTCCATCCACGCCCGATTCCTCTCCGTGACGCCGCATGCTAGTGTCCCGGTAGATCTGTGGAATGTCGGCTCGTTCCCTGTGCTCGACAAAGCCTCGCCATCGGTGTTTGACACGACCGGCATGCTGTCGAGTCTCCCAGAACCGTTCCCCATGTTTGGCTACCCCACGGTGCCTGAATTGATCATTGACGGCTTGACCTCCACCGACAACGAGATGCATGCGGACTCGGTCCTGCGAAAGCGACGAAAGAAGATGAACAAGCACAAGCACAAGAAGCGGAAGAAGGCCATGCGCAATAGAACCAAGAAGAATTAGAGGACCTACGCGGCGTAACCATCCCACGCGCCACTCACTGCCATTGCAACCACGTCGACCTCGGACGACTGCTTGCATGAAGGATGGCGCTGGTTAACTTCTCTAACAGGCTGACGACGCAGTACCATAGTCATTCCCACATCGCCTACACGACCCCCGTGTGTTGCTGCTACCCTTAAGTCATGTGATATCGTTGCAATTTCACACGGTCTCCGACTTCATACCGTTATTCACATACATCTACATATACCGACAATCTTGCAGTCGTCGTCGATAAGGTTAGTGTGCATGTAGTAACAGTTGCGACTTGTGTTGCAGCGCAACCTTGGCACGCTTCCACCGTTACTCTGACTCAAGACTACTCGGCTCTCTACTTATATGTAATGACGCATTCGTAACGAACATTACACGATCAAAGACATAGATGTTTATTCTCGCTCGGCTTCGTGGGCGGCGCCATTACAACAAAGTCACGTTTTGCTTTGGAGTGAGACCACCGCCAGTCTCCAACTCGGCGGCGGCGGCGGCAGTCGCGAGTTCGCCGCTGCCTCCTGCAGGAGATGCCATGTATGATGGAGGCGGCTGCTTCTTGCGGAACAGCACGAGGCCGATCAACAGCGCCAAGGCCAGCACTGCCACGATGATAAAGATGATCCAGCCTGTGGCGAGGCCACCGGATGAGCTGTCGTCGCCCGCCGCCTGTCCATCCGACGACGTGACGTTGGGCTTTTGGCTGACTTGAGAGTCGGGGATTTTCGTTGTGGAGCTGTTGGTGTCCCCTGGGACGGCGGTCGTGGTTGTGCTGGTCGCCGACGGGGTCGGTTCAGGCGCGGGGGTCGTAGAATTTGGAGCCAACGACGCGTTGCTGCTAGAGGTCGTCGTGGTGGGGACCACCGGGGTGGTCAACGAGGGTTCTTCCGTCGTCGTGACTGGAACCGTGGTGGTTACCTGGGACGTGGTCGGTTTGGGCTTGGGGGAGTATGGCGCCGGCTCGGGTCCTTTGCACACGGCGCCAGCGGTCTTGGCGACACATCCCAATGTGTTGCCACCAAAGACACCGCAGCACGTGCTGTAGTCCAACACGATCGTGCTGTCCATGTTGGGCTGGCCCTTTTGAGGGCACGAAAACTTGCCGATCGCGTCGTCGCCGTGGTACTGGCCCGAGCACGGCTGACTGCCGACGCAGTAAACGGTGCCGCTGCCGCGGAGCGACACTTCCCACTCGCCTTCTGCGCATTGCGCGGCCACAGTTGTGGTCGCAAATATAGCGGTGTATACCAAGGACACGACTCGCATGCTTGTCTTTGTCCTGGTGAAATTCTTGATTGGCGGACCTGCTGGCTTGACAGGGGCAGCGCACACTGCGGCTGTAACTCGAAGCGCCGACGGAATTCAATAGGCAGATTGTATAGCCCATGAAATTCGACCCTAAGTAATGCAAATCGAATTTCGAACAAATCGCCGACATAAATTTCGACGATTATTTTATTACACCATGTTGTCGCAGTGTCAAGCGGAAATTAAATACTTCGAAGTAGATTCTCGTGCGAGGTGCAAAAACCACCGGGTGAGTTTTCGAAGAAACCAGGTGTCATTTGCAGGAATGCCCAAATGCACCAATCATCATAGAGGAATTACATCTTTTCAGCCAATCCAACGTCGTTTTAGTTTGGAAAGATATTGATTCGAAACATATGGTTCATTGTTCATTACCTGCGTTGTGTGTGCATGCGATTTGTGCGCGATGGAGTTCTGAACTTGCAGCGTACGTTCAGCCGGAAGCGCATGAGGGCATTTGGCAAATTCGACTTACTGTATCGTTTGCCTTGCCATACATATGTACCACACAGTACAGTAGCGTGCTTGAGTCACAGGCTACAGTATCTATCGATCAATCTTTCTGCACCCTCACCGAAAGTCGCCGAGATAGAAATACACATTTCACGACATATACGTCACCTGCCTTACATATCTGTGCGTTTCTCATCGGAGGTCTCCACCAGTGCACACTCCAAAATTGTTGAGGAGTTTGCACCACAAAAAAAGACTAATCAGAACACCCTGTTCTTTTAGAGAACACCCCCACTGCCCTGTCGGTCACGTAGCAGCATTCTGCTTGCTGTGTAGGAGATTTTTGTGCCTTTTACCGTCAAGTTTACTGTTAATTCGAGTCGGATGGCCATGTGCCGTATCCGAATCCGTATAATCAGGCCTGAGACACTTGATTTTGTTTTCGCTCCGGACATACAAAAATAAGTATAAAGGGTCTGCCTCAAATATATTACTGTGTATAAGCTACCAATTGGTACAGGTTAACAATATTCAAAGAACTTCTACTCCTGTTATATGAATATTGCGATGTACAAGGATACAAACATAAAGATGATTACATGCACAAAAATAATGGTCCAATGAAAGCATTCATCGCGATACAGTACTGTAGGGGATGAATGATTCGTTCAATTATGCGACTAGTTATCCGGATGCCAAGACTTCATACTCACATGTTCTCTACTGATTGCTATGCATGCTTGTAGTTTTATTGTACTCGATCCAGTTGGTAGAAACGCGAGAAGTATACTTACTAGGACTAACTTGGTATACTGATGGATTCATCGTACAAAGGGAGTTTGGAACCTTGAGCAGAGCAATTTGTGCTACATTTACAGTTAACAGTTAGACGACATCCTCAAAAACAACTGTCATCCATGCTAATACTGCGTATCATGTTACAGTAGTCCGTGTACTGTGCATTCTATACAGTATTGAATTCGTTTCATAATGACGTGTTCAATACTCGAAGTTATACCAGTATCAAGCTACCCTTAACACACTACTAACATGGACGACTGCTCGCAGTCACCTTAGCTATTATTGCGTTCGTGTCCCTGCTATTATAGAGTGTAGTATAGTTCACCGCAATGTTATTGTGCTGCTTCCACTTGCAGTGCTGGAAGCCGCGTGGGAAAATATAAGATATTTCCAGCCTCTCAAAATTAACTTACATAATTTGTGGGCGCATATATTGAATGTGACAAGTTATTTGTGCACCAGAGGATTCCTGTGTGAATCTATACTCGCAAGGATGCCCAAATCTATAACTTGATGGAGGTGTCGGACTCATGCAAGCGTCCGACTCAAGTTAAACTACACCACCGTCTACAGTACAGTACTGTACTGTAGACGGTGGTGGCTTTTCCTCAGGTAGAACACTGCGCAGACATTTGTCGCGAAACATCACAAATGTAGTGGCCAATCATAGTCTAGTCTGATTGGCTGTTTTTCTCTGTCGTCTATTAGTTCTTCCTCCATCCACTCACGCGTCTACTGTACTGCTGCTTCCTGCCCTCTCCACTATGAGATTTTGTGCACGATGGAGTTCTGAACTTGCAGCGTGTGTTCAGCCGGAAGCGGATGAGGGCAATTCGCAATTATTCAACTTACAATTATTTCAACTTACAGGATTGTTTGCCTTGGCATATGTAGCAGTACAGTACACTAGCGTTCTGGAGTCACAGGCTTGATCAACCTTTCTGCACCTCCACCGAGAGTCGTCGAGATTGTATATATATCTATCTCGGCGACTAATAGATTCGAACTAAATATATCTTCGAGATAATAATCTTCCTCCATCCACTCACGCGTCTACTGTACTGCTGCTTCCTGCCCTCTCCACTATGAGATTTTGTGCACGATGGAGTTCTGAACTTGCAGCGTGTGTTCAGCCGGAAGCGGATGAGGGCAATTCGCAATTATTCAACTTACAATTATTCAACTTACAGGATTGTTTGCCTTGGCATATGTAGCAGTACAGTACACTAGCGTTCTGGAGTCATAGGCTTGATCAACCTTTCTGCACCTCCACCGAGAGTCGTCGAGATTGTATATATATCTATCTCGGCGACTAATAGATTCGAACTAAATATATCTTCGAGATAATAATCTTCCTCCATCCACTCACGCGTCTACTGTACTGCTGCTTCCTGCCCTCTCCACTATGAGATTTTGTGCACGATGGAGTTCTGAACTTGCAGCGTGTGTTCAGCCGGAAGCGGATGAGGGCAATTCGCAATTATTCAACTTACAATTATTTTCAACTTACAGGATTGTTTGCCTTGGCATATGTAGCAGTACAGTACACTAGCGTTCTGGAGTCACAGGCTTGATCAACCTTTCTGCACCTCCACCGAGAGTCGTCGAGATTGTATATCTATCTATATCGGCGACTAATAGATTCGAACTAAATATATTTTCGAGATAATAATCTGGATAAGAAATCAAAAATAATCTACTTCTTATGTGACGTTGAATCCAATGAACTATTTTCAATTCCCGAAGACATTAATCGATTTTCATTTTCAATTCCCGAAGATATCGATAATCGATTTTCGATCCTCCTCCTATTATCGAAGGTGTTGTCATTGCAAGAAGACCAGTTAACTGCTGCTAAGAACGATGCGTTGGTCATGTCCATATTGGACACTGGCACTGTAGTTGAGACTGTCACGCTGTTGACCTATGCGGACGAGCTTTTGGCACCAAAACGACGCCGAATGGAACCAAGAACAAACAAATGCACTGCTGGTTGAAGTTTATCCTCCCCACCAGAAACATGGTTGAGCGGCTCTT